TATTGAAATATCAACTTAGGTGCTACAATATGTACTGAATGCTGCTGAATCCTGGTGGCTGTTTGCAGGTGGCTTTTCCCTCTGGCAGCATCCATATTTTGGAATGTGTTCCCCTGTACTTTGAGAAAGACCTACTTTTAGGTGCCTGTTGAAAACTTGCTTCTTTACCCTTCCCAGCATGGAAGAATTAATTAAATATAATGATTGATTGAAAAAGCTGGCATGCTGCAAAACAATGCCTTTCATTGTTAAAAACACCTCTAGGCTATATACAGGCCCATTGGCATTCCAAGAGGATAAAATGGTTAGTGCTGTGACCTACTATATCCATCTGTTAAGCAAAAAGGGCAGGCAAATAAAACTTCTATGTCTGAGTTGCAAAACCCAGATGCTCATTAGATAGCAGCAACAGGCTAAAGTTTATTGAATCTCTTTGCAACTATTTAGTGTCATCTTGACCTTAGGAGCCAAGGCATGGTAACCTTTTAGAAAGCAATATGGGTAGAATGCAATAGCTTCACCAATTCACCTCCTGAAAATGTTTTTTTTTTAATAGCTCATTTTGGCAACCATTTTATGAATAAGTAAACTCCCCACATGGTGAAGTAACCATTTTCTGAGAACGCCTACAACTCTATGTCATATTTCAGATAAATTCACCAGCTCAGGAAAAAATATTATGATCCAGACTTACTGGGCTAGATGGGTAAAATATAACTTGAAAGCCCCACACTAAAGACTTCCTCCAGTCTCATTCTATTTTTAATACTTTTTATTTGCCTGCTCAGTGTTGGAGATTTAAGATGCCAAATATCAGTCCTAGAAAAAGGAATAGTTGGGCAAGAGACCTTGTCAGTCAGCCTGATGCTGGACTTCTCCTGCATTTGCAAAGTTGCTTTGGAAACAACAGTCAACTATATTTACCAGTTATGGTGAACAAAACCTGAAGCTCTCTGGATACTGCTCTTTTTAGCATCATATGGTAACTTACTTCTTGAATTATCCCAGCTGTTAGCTTTGTGATATTAAAATCATAAAGAAATGAGTTAGAGACAAGGGAATCTAATTAACACAAACATTTAAAAATAGGATGGGGAGGGGAAAAGTATATACAGAAGGGTTCATTTCCGAAATAGGGCTCTCCTGGGCATTTATTACCAAGAGATAGAGCTGTAAAAAGTGCCCTCACAAAAAATAGTGATAGATAATACTTTAGATAAATCAGGCAATAGTGAGTTTTAATGAGTAAAGCTGGATACTGCCCCAATTCCTGCTGTGCTGTTTCATTGTGGTGGGGGGAGCAGTGTTCCTGGGAGGGATAAGCAAAGAAGTCAAATGTATACATTTCCAGCCAGATCACTCAAGGCATGGAGGTCAAACCAGCTGCCCAGCTAAAGCAAGCAAGCAAACACCTACATGGGACAGCAGAGATAGGAAACATACTTTAGAAAAAATTCCTTTTTTACCAAAATCTCTAGCACTAGAAGATGAAATTAGATCAGCACTCCAGTCATTACTTGGAAGTCTACAGGAACTGATGGAATACCCCCCCAAGATGTGGCAAGTAACAGAAGAATCAATAAAGGTTCTAACCAAGCTGTGCCAGGAAATCTAGAGAACATCACAGTGGCCAACAGATTTGAAAGTCTGCATTCTAATTTCAAAAAATAAGAGTATGCAAACTACTGTACAATATCTTTAATTTCACCTGCTAGCAAAATCATGATTACAATCATCCAACACAGATTAGAGCCTTATATGAAAAAAGAGATATCAGACATTCTTTTTTCAATAAATTTATTAAGAATTATATTAAACAGATAAAATGAATACAAAAACCTAATACAAAATATATTTTAAAGAAGGGAAAATAATTATTAAAAGGTGTAGAAATAAATCCCCTGCAAAAAAAAAAGGGAACTTGTAAGCAAAACTTCCCCCTTCCCTATTTCCCCCTTCAACCCAACAAGTATATTCCAACATTAACAACTTATCACTGCCTCTTAAAATACAAACAAATACATCTTCATCCCATACCTCACCGGATTTTCTATCCTCTCTAAATGTTTATCTCTCCTTATTAATCAGCAAAAGTTCAGTAAAAACTAACAAAAATCCCATAAACACCGCTGAAGAAGTTACCTAGCCTGGTAACAAAATGTTCGGAAACTAACCCACAAGCTCAAGAGAACGAACCTTCACCCTTACTAACAAAAATACCTAACAATGTAAGTGTATAATCTCCCTTTCCATTTAATCTAAATCTGCTTCATTCCTCTTTTTAATAATCAAAATTAATCCCATTAACAAACATTATAAAAATATAAACATTATCAGAAATAATAGCCCCTTATTTACATGTCAAAAATAGCCCCTTATTTACATGTCAAATATTGCAGACTAAAATAGCCTGTTTGGTATAATGGATTAAGACACCAAGCTAAAAACTTAGGAACTCTTGAGTTTTAGTCACCATGAAAAACCAGGTGAGTGACCTTGGGCCAGTCACTCGCTCAGTCCAACCCACCTCACAAGATTGTTGTTATGGGGAAAATAGGAGGAAGATGTGTTATGTTATTTGTAAAAATAATAAAGGTGGACAAAAATAATAGATAAATAAAAATCCATTAACCCAGCTCATTTCCGCAACAAAAATATTTATCCTGCCAAAATAACCATTAAGCACCATCAGAAATACCAACTTATTTAACCATAATAAAATATGTGTTGTTTTTTTTCTTCAGAGGGACTTGTTCCCCTCTCATAATAACTTTTGGTTCCAAAATGCTCAAGCATTTCTTGAATCACAGATTAGTTTTCTTTAAAGTAGCCATCGGGTCTCTTCTTAATGATCAACCTTCACCCTCTGCTCTTGCGCCAGCGCTAGCCAAGTTGTGAGCCTCTTGCCAGTACTAGCCGAGCTGTCAGCCTCTTGCCCGTGCTAGATGAACTGTGAGCCTCTCGCCGGCGCTAGCCAAGCCGCAAGCCTCTCACCGGTGCTAGCCAAGCCATGAAGCTCTCACTGGTGCTAGGTGAGCCGCAAACCTCTTGCCAGCACTAGGCATGCTGCGAGCCTCTTGCAGCGCTAGCAGCCCCATATGCAGAGCGTGCATGCTCACGGCCCCTTTCACATGCACACAGCCACATTTGTATGTGGGTGCATGCGCACATAAAGGTGCTTGTCCTTCCCTTTCCCACTGGACTGCCAACTCAGAAAGGTTGGTTACCCCTGATCTAGAGTACATAAGAGTAATCTCAAAATCTTTGTTCTACATAGAATTTTGGCAAAAACCAAGAAGAAAAAGCATTAAATATAAGTTATTGCAAGATGCTAAGGAAAGAGGAGGTTTGGGTTTACCAGATTTAAAATTGTATTTTGATGCATGTTGCCTGGCCTGGTTAAAAGAGTGGATGAACCTCCAGAATAAAAGGCTACTTGATTTGGAAGTTCATGAATTAAGGTTTGGATAGCATGTTTATTTTTGGTATGATAATGTTGATTCTAATAATCACTTTGTTAGACATGCCATACTAAAAAGTATGGAATAAATATAAAACAAGATTCTCCACAAAGTTGCCTCTTAGGGTGTCCCCACAGGAAGCTTTTTTTTTTTAAAGAAAAGAAATTGTTGCAAAGCCGGACTAGTGGACTAATGCTAAAATACCGTAAATGCCGGCGTATAAGACGACTTCCGCGAGCGCTGAAATCGGCGCCAAAGACGGGGGTCGTCTTATACGCCGAGTCGTCTTATACACCGGAAATACTGGTAGTTTCCGGCATATAAGACGACGTTCTAGGAATGCGGCCCGGCTATAAAGACGGGGGGTCGTCTTATACGCCGGGTCGCCTAATACGCCGGCATATACGGTAATACTCTTCAACTCGGGTGACTCTACTCTTAAATCAAGGAAAGATTTAGAATCAGAGGGTTATGCCTGTCATTGGTTTACATATCAACAACTGAAAGAAATATTCAAACTAGATAAAAAGTTATAGGTTTGATTTTGTTAAAAATGAATTTGAAACATTATTTGTGGTAATGATGAACATATTGCTAAGGCTTATAAAATGCTATTGAAATTGAATTTGGAAAATGAACATGTAAAACATTGTATGATACAATGGGCATGGAACTTGTATATAATGTGATGCTGGAACAATGGGAGAATATGTGGATGAAAAGCTTAAAAATTATACTGAGTTACAATTTAAAAGAAAACTTTTATTAGATAATGTATCACTGGTATTTAACATCAGACAAGCTACCTAGAATGTTGCCTATTTCTAATTTAAAACTTTCTAAAAGAATCAACAACATATTTGTGTCTAGCAAAAATTGATTTACTAATTTTACTACTGTAGTTTTAAAACTGAATAATAATTTTAAAAATGTGAATTTAATTTGTCAATAATAAATTAACTTTATTAAAATATATTGAAGATGTTTTGGGGGCTTTTATTTTATGTTCCTGCTGTAATCCTAAATTTATATAAATTAGACCTAGTTCAAAGGATGAAATCCAGTAGAGGAAAAACTAACAATGCAAAATTTTTAATATCTCAGCTTTGTTGGCCTTAAATCAATTTGTAAACATTTTCACAGCAATAAAATAAGTGAATGCATATATAATTATTCTTTTTATCTCCCTTAGCTGTTACTAAATACATAATATTTAACCTTGAATAATAAGAAAGTTAAATTGCATTACACTACTGCTATTTTTGTATAATGCTGTCTTACAGAAAATATGAGGCATGGAATATCTTAAGTATTTGTCTGATTTAAATGTTTAGCATCTTCTTCCAGAAATATCATTTGATGTTTATGATTCAGCCAGACATACATTCATCTTTGTGAAAAGAAGAAAAGGTTACTATTTCTAGAGGCTTCAACATAGCCTCTAACTATTTGAGAATCCATAGTCTATAGTTTATAATATTTTTTTTTGATCTTGGATGATTTCCTGCATTGTAAACCTTTTGTTTGTTTTGCTTTTAGGAGGAGTACTTTGCTATTCAACAGTGAATCTCATTGATTTCAGTAAACATGGATGAATTGCAAGATGTGCAGTTAACAGAAATTAAACCTCTCTTAAATAATAAGGTAAAGAAAGTTGTGTTTGAGCATGAGAAAAATTAACAATTTTGTATTATATGCTAACTTTGTGTAGGAGGAATATATATTACAGTTTCCTCCTGTTGGATGTAGAATTTAATTCACTGAAAAGGTCCATTTAAAAGTCTTGAAAGTTTCAATATTTAATGCAGAAAGACAGTTCTTCTCCCAACCCTTTCTCTTTTGCTCCCCTGAAACAAATTCTAGGTTTCGGGTTTCATGGAGCAAGCTCTTAATCTTTGCTGTTGCTCATTGAAGTGCCATATATATTGATTTCAAATAGTCTTGTGGCATTTCAAAGCAAACAGATCTATTATGGTTAAGCTTTTGTTGATTGAAGTCTACTTGAAACATCAAAGGCATAATAATTGTTATAAAAATATTTATAAATGTTCGGGCATATTTTTAGTGAAATCTTCAAAGCTAAAGGGAAAAACTCAAGTGGACAGGAGGCTGCAGGGCTTTATTGCCCAAATAATTATCTTTTTAAATGTATTTGTATCCCACCATTATTTCACAAATATCTCAAGACAGTGAACATATGCAACACATCTTCCTCCTGTTTTCCCCACAAAAGCAACCCTGTGTGGTGGGTTGGAGTGAGAGAGAATGACTGTCTCAAAGTCATCCAGATGATTTTTCATGCCTAGAGGGGCTCCCGCATTCTAGTCCAGTGTCTTAACCACTTGATTAACTGGCTCTCATGACCTTCCAGTTGGTAAGGTTAAACAGAGTATATTGTGCAATAATCTTGGAATATATTTATACAAAATGTTGATTTCTACTTTACATTATGCAGAATTACAGATACATAGATACCCCAAAACAAAGGCCTTTATTTTCTTTTGTTTTTAAGCTGTTGATTAAATTAACTGTTCTCTATAGACAGCATAGAAGGAATGTTTCTAAGTAAACAAATTAGAAGGCTAAATTAACTTCAACAGTACTGTTTTATCTTTAACTTCGATGAAGTTTTTTTAGCTAAAAATTTAAAATTAGTACACCTTCAAGGGGTATGTCCATGTATATTAAGTTTTGTGTTTGTGAATAATTGATTTTTTTTAAAAAAAAAAATCTGGAGTGAAATGTAGTGTATCTGCCAAAAGGGAGGAGATGGTTTCGCATGCACAACCTAATCCCACACACGCTCATCTGCCATTTGCGTGGCCCGTTCCCAATGGGCCACAGATCAGTACTGGTTTGGGGGGGGGGCTGCCTTATATCATTGGAATGTGGCCCATTCCAATGATAATTCTTGGAAACATTTTGCATGCAAAGCAGCCATCATTCAGCAGTAGTTCCATTGTTGTAGTGTATGCATACTTTTAGCCTATATAATTTTGATGAGTCTTTCAAAATACAATAGAAAATAAAAACTTGAATTTATAGCCAAGAGATTATCTTAAAATTTGGAAGCATTTGTTCCTTGAGAATCTGCATTTTGATGTTAGAAATCCTGGCATTTCCATCATGATATGGAATAGATTGATTTCTAGGATAGAAGGCTGGTGGGGTAGGGGTGGGGGAATTGTTATTATTCTGCATTTTTTATTGCAATTTAATACAGGAAGCTTCAGCTCTGTACGTAACTGAGGTGTTGGAATAAGCTTTTCAAACAGGTGAAAAGCAAAGTTTATGGTTTGTTGATCAATGGCCATTCTTATATTGACAGAATTCAGCTCGAAACTTCCAGGACTTTGACTGTCAAGTAAGTACTCAGACTGGAATGTTTCTGCTTTGTCAGTCTTTTTTATTTTTAAGATAAATTTTTGAGAAGGAATTGAGAAAGCTGTAGGCCATTGCTTCCCATATATTCATTTTTAGTTATCTGCATGTTGAAAAAAAAAATGTATCTGGCTACCACTAAGCTACAAGGGTCTGGTTTGGAGATGATTGTTTCCCATCAACCCATGAACCAAAATGGTTACATTGCTACAGTTGTATAAAGTCTTTCTCAGATGCAAATATACATTTCTATTAAGGCTGTGTTTTCCCTCAGTATGGCCATATCACATTTTGGACTTTTTTCCTATCTAACTCCTAATCTTTGAAATCAAATTCCCCCTCAGATCACATTTGGAGTCTGATTTTATTAGTTTTAAAAAGCTTGAAAACTGCCTTTTATAAAAGTGGAAGAACCATTCTTTTTAATTATAATACCTGTTACCAGTTTGGATAGTGCTATGATTTAGGAAAGAAGAAAGGACACTTATTTATGCCACAAGTAGTCATCGACTTACAATTGGGACCAGAATTTCTGTTGCTATGGTTTTTAAATGAGTTGTATCCAATGTTATGACCGTTTTGCAGTGGTCATGTGACTCTCCAGTTGACTTAGCTTTTAGAAACCCCCTAGGAAGGTTTTATTTAACACCTTTATGGATTTTGGAGAAAAGTAAATTCAACAAATAAATATTGTTGATTTGGATCTTAAAGAATTGTGTTTTGTGATGTTTCTGTTATGATTATTTTAAAGTGTGTTTTCAGTTACTTTTTGGATAACACTTTTTGATATTCTTTTTCTCTATTTTATACAACTGCTTACCTCAAAAGATAATGATATGAAGGGCGTGTCCATAGGTAGTTTTTGACAAAGGTATACAGAATAAAGAAATGTATTTCCTTGCACGATGTCAAACTTTACTAAAGAGTGAATCTTCATAATTACATGGTAAACAAGGCACACTGAAATGTATATGACTATAATGCATAAATTTGTTCAGGCTTGATGACCTAATTAAGAAATATAAAATAGTTTACAGTAGTTGGGAACAATCACCTCTTCACCTTATTTTGTAATCCTAGTATTACTAGTTGTTGTTTTGGAATCTGAGGGGCTTGTCCTGCTTTTGACATCTTTTCTGCTAATACACTTAGTAGTTTTTTTGAAGCTATAGAATAGAGATTGTCCTATGGGTCTTGTCAAGATGAATGAGCATTACGATATTCTGCCCTTCTTCAGTCAGAAAGAAAAATCTTTATTCACAAAGACCAGTGAATAATAAAACTCAGTGGTGTAAAACAGATATAAATATAAAAAGAGAATGATAAAATTAACAGGGCTTATCATTTAGTTGGCTATGACGAAGGTATGTCGATTGTCAAGAAGGTACATGGGGATTCACAAGTGTATGTAAGGAAAGATCTCTATTACATAAGAAAATCATGACCTAATAGTCATGGGTTGTCCAGTAATCCATCTAAAAATGGATGTAAAAAATATGGAGCCTAAGCAAAGTCATTCTGTTGGTTGAACAACATTCTGTATTCACATGCTAGAATAAGTTCAGACAAAAATCCTGATTGGATTCTGCTCTTTGGCACATCTTGAGTTGTTGGAGTCATTGTGTACATAATTGGCTTACATTTCACAAAGTAATCACTCTAGATTTACACTTTCATCTATTTATATAGAATACCATAGAAACCAGCATTGCCTGCATAGACTCTCTTGCTGTCCTATTAATAGTTTTGTTCTGTGTGAGTTTGAATAATTTAATTTACTGTGCTGGTTTATATTTGAGCAATTAGCTTACCATGATTTTTACTTCACAACATAGTTTTGCATTTGGACTATTTATTCAGAATCTAAGGAAAATGTACATCTATAAAAGACTAAAGCCACATTTAGATTTCTTGTGATTGTAGCATATAGGCTAGATCTAAGTTGGACAAAACAGAGTTAATGAGATTCAGTATAATCAATTTGTCTGGCATAATCTATTTTTTATAATACAAGCACAAACTCTTTGTGAAGATTCTTTAGCATGTTAGAGTTGTAATATACTCTAGAGAACATCAAACATGCCCATTACAGTAATATTTTCTCTCTCCTTTTTTTAACAGCTTAATGTTTAAAGTGAGCTCTACAACATTTGAAAGCATTTTGAATTTCAGTTGTTTTCAGTTTTTCAGATTCAGATTCAACCTAAAAACTTCAATGTATAGCCGTTTCCTCCCCCCCAAATATAACTCCTATAAGAAAGCCCAAACTGAAAACCTATATATTTTCATGTAAGATGTGTTAGTATCTTCTTCTTCTCAATCAATAAATGGATCCCATGAAAGAACTAAATCTATAGAAAAAATGTGTGAATCCTGCTGGGTATATGTATTACACTTGAATACATTAGGAAAGAGCATATGCACTATTCTTGTCACATTTCTTTAATGAAAACTGAAAGAATACAAAAATGAACCTTTCCTGTTTTAACATCTTCTATATAAAATTCCTTTCTCTGAGCAGTTCTTAAAATGTAAAATTCACAATTTGATGAGAACTTTGTAAAAAGATGATTTCTAGGATCATTGTTTTCTGATTAGGAGGCTTTTCCTGCAGATTAATAATATCCTTTTTATTCCCAGGTGTTTTCAGTTTTTGAGTTATTTACTGGGGACTATGTCATGTTTTCTCTGTAGAGGTTATTCCTCTTTAATCTCAAAATTGACATTTTGTTCTGTAGGAGCATGATATAGAGACAGCTTATGGAGTTGTCCATGTCACTATGCGGGGCACTTCAAAAGGCAATCGTCCTGTCATCCTAACGTATCATGATATTGGCCTCAACCGTGAGTCCTTTTTTTCATGGTATTTTCATCTGCTGACTCACTGACTGTATTGTATTCATATTTTCAGAATAGAAGTGTTCGATGCAGAAACTGTTCTTTTAATTTACCATAACTAGAAAACAAACATGAACCTTACCATTTAACTTGTAGTTACTTTTTATCGAACCAGGAACTGGAGTGGTGCTTTTCATGGTCATTTTGTGGGTTTGTCCTACAGATAAGTCCTGCTTCAACACTTTCTTCAATTTTGAAGACATGCAGGAAATCACACAACACTTTGCTGTATGCCATGTTGATGCACCTGGACAACAAGAGGGGGCTCCTCCTTTCCCTTCTGGGTAAGTATAATATTCCTTTAATCCAGAATGTTTAAAATTGAAATAGATGGGGGAATAGCCAGATTTCCAGTATTGGCTTAATGCAGTGATGGCGAGCCTTTTAGAGACCAAGTGCCCAAACTGCAACCCAAAACTCACTTATGCATCCTTGGATGCCGGGTGGGTGTTGTCAGAATATCCGATGTCGTCCGTAGCGCGAAGGCAAAGAAGACCGGCACACACTGACACCCAACAAGCACTTTATTATGCAAGTGAGACAAAGTCAGCACTGGTGTTAGTTACCTCCCACCGCCATATATCGGCGTGCTCCACCCTGTGGGTCCGCCCCCGGTTCCAAACCACCATCCGTTCCAAATGAATAAATGCCCCACCCTTTCCCTGTACTTTCCCTTTCCCCGACGGAACTCCGCCCCCACCCCCCGTTGTCCGTGCGCCCGAACCGCGCGCCAGTTGCCCGCCGCCAAACTTGCCCTGCCTACCGTCCTGGTTGCTAAAGGATAACCCCCCACCCCCCTTTGCTGGGTCCGGCCGCCGGAGTGCAGTCCTCTCGGCCCTAGATGGCCCGCCTTCCGCAAACTGCAGCTGGCATTCGTGGTCCTCCGACCCTGCCGGTAACGGGCCTCCCTTGGGTTTCGCTGGCGTCTGTGGCGTAGCCCACGGAGATGTCTGTTCAGTTGAGGTTCGGCGGGTGCAGCCATGGGGCGTGGCGGGGCAGTGCTCAGCTGTTTCCCGGGCTGGTAGGTCGTTATCCACGCTCCCCCGTCCCCGTTCGTATGGCAAGCCTTTAGGGGCTTGACATGCGGCCCCCTTTACCACGTGTCCCCCTGGAAAAGAAAGGGAAGGGGTTGAATATACCACGTTGCATCTGTCTCGCCCTGGCTTCCCCGGGCACTTACGGTGAAACGTTCGGATTAGGTTAGGTGCGTTTATATCCTCCTCTCCCACCCAGGTTGCGTCCGACAACGGGTATCCTTTCCATCGAAGGAGGTATTGGGTCTTACCATAGCGCCTACGTGAGTCTAAGACTTCCTGCACTTCATAATGAGACCCCGAGACCGGCCCGGGTGCCCCGTCAGCGTAGGGACTTTTATGTGCAGGTTTGAGCAGGCTACTATGGAACACGGGATGAACTTTGCCTAGAGAGGCGGGTAGCCGTAATTGAACCGTCACCGGGTTGACCACTTTGAGGATCTGGAAGGGGCCCACATATTTCGGGCCCAGTTTTTTGCATGGCACCTGCAAGCGTAAATACTTGGTGGCTAAATATACCCAGTCTCCCACCTGGAACGGTTTGTGCTCTGCTCGTCTTTTGTCGGCTTGGAGTTTGGCAGCAGCCTCGGCCTTCCTCCGTGCTTCCTTCACCCGGTCCCACAACCCTGTGATCTGGGAGTACCATGTTTGAGGGGTCTGGCCGCTAGCTACCTCTGGTGACAGATCGGGAATGGGGTTAAACTCCATCCCATACACTATCTTAAACGGGGTATACCCCGTACTGTTGTGGACAGTGTTATTATATGCCACTTCAGCAAACGGCAAGAGGTCCACCCAGTCCGTTTGCTGAAATGACACATAACTCCGGAGGTATCTTTCCACCATGGCATTTGCCCTTTCTGCCGCCCCGTTGGTGCTCGGGTGATACGCTGAACTCAACGCCTACGAGGACCCTAGTGTACGAACGAACTCCCTCCAGAACTTCGCGGTGAATTGCACCCCTCTATCCGATACAATTCTTCTGGGTATGCCATGGAGTCGGTAAACGTGTTGAATAAACAACCGTGACAACCCCCGCGCTGATGGCAGGCCCTTGCTTGGAATAAAATGCGCCTGTTTGGAGAAGAGATCTATCACGGTCCATATTACGTTGTATCCCCGGTTGTCAGGCAGTTCCACAATAAAATCCATGGCGATCTCTTCCCACGGCCGGGATGGATCAGCCACTGGTTGTAACAACCCTATGGGCTTCCCTACTCGGGGTTTGGCACTGGCGCATACGTGGCATCCTCTGACATACCGTTCCACATCTACCTTCAGTTTGGGCCACCAGAATTGTCGTCGTAATAGATGTAGGGTCTTTACAAACCCAAAATGGCCCGCTTGTTTTGCGTCATGGCACTGTTGGAGCACGGCTAGGCGTAGGCTCTCGGGCACATATATCCTACCGCCTTTCCATGCCACACCGTCCCGAGTAGTTAAGCACCCTGAATGTTCATTCGCCCATGTATCCGTCAGCAGGGCAGCTCTAATAGCCTCTAGGTCACTTACCTGAGACCTGTGACTTACAGTCTTAGCGGTATCATGCCGCGGAGGCGGCATTAGTGCCTGTATGACCTCCTCCCGTTTGCTATGGTACTGCGGCATCCGCGACAATGCGTCGGCCAGAAAGTTTTTCCCTCCCGGCACATACCTCAGAGTGAACCGAAACCGGTTGAAATATTGGGCCCACCGGACATGTTTGGGGGCTAAGCGCCTCGGGGTCTGTAGCGCCTCCAAATTCTTATGGTCTGTCCACACCTCAAACGGCTGCTTGGCCCCTTCTAACAAATGCCTCCATGTTGCTAGAGCCCAGCGGATCGCGAAGGCCTCCTTCTCCCAGACGGTCCAGCTACGCTCGGCCGTCGTGAACTTCCGCGAGGTATAGGCACATGGCTGCAACGCTCCCCCACTGTTCTTCTGCAACAGCACCGCCCCCACTGCCACATCACTTGCGTCCACCTGTACCACGAATGGGGCACTCTGGTCTGGGTGGCGCAATACGGGCTCTTTGGCAAATAACGTTTTCAGTGTCTCAAATGCCTTTTGGCAACTCATATCCACTCTATTCGGTGGCTCGGGCGAGGTCTCGCCGCCAGGTGTCTTGTCCGCAGCAGTTCCGTGAGGGGATGCACCACGTTGGGAAATAACAGAATGAACTGGCGATAAAAATTCGCGAATCCGAGAAAACTTTGCAGTTGGCGTCTCGTCTGGGGCGCTTGCCATTCCTGTACTGCTTGCACCTTGCTCGGGTCCATTTCCACCCCGCTCCCCGATATACGGTAGCCCAGGTAATCTAGTCGCTCCCGGTGGAACTCGCACTTAGACAACTTTACATAAAGTTGTGCCTCCAATAACTTCCGCAGCACCTGCCTCACCAGACTGACATGCTCCTCCCTTGTTGCGGTGTATATTAGAATATCATCGAGGTACACGAGTACCCCGCGGTATAGGTGTTCATGCAATACCTGATTGATCAACTGCATGAACACTGCCGGGGCCCCCCGTAACCCGAACGGCATGACGCGAAACTGGAAGCTACCCAACGGACAGTTAAATGCCGTTTTCCACTCGTCGCCAGCCTTGATTCGTACTTTATAGTAAGCCTCCCGTAGGTCCAATTTGGTAAATATACGTCCCGTTCCCAGATGCGCTAACAAGTCCTTCATTAGGGGGAGGGGGTATACATGCTCAACACATACTGCGTTTAACCCTCGGAAATCAACACATAAGCGTAACGACCCATCCTTCTTTTCCTTGAAAAGTACGGGAGCCGCTATCCGTGACCTAGCAGGCTGAATGAACCCCCGCGCCAAATTCTGGTCAATGTATCTACGGAGTTCCTGCACCTCTGGTGATGTCATGGCGTACATCCGTGGTTTCGGGAGTTTAACCCCCGGCAATAACTCTATGGCGCAATCCGTTGACCAGTGAGGGGGTAGGTGATTACACTCCTCCTCGCTGAAGACCATTGCTAAATCTCTGTATTCCTCAGGGTACGTCGCTTCCCCCCCCCTCCTCCTGGAGTCGCGCCGTCACCTCCGGGGCCTCAGGAACCTGGTCTCCATTATTGCCAGTCTCTGGCATCGGGCCCTTTCCCAAACGCACCTTACGGTACCCTCCCTCCCACCAAATGGTTGGGGTCCATTTGTCCAGCCAGGACAACCCTAATATGACAGTCTCAGTCAACGTGGGCACCACAATGAACCGCAACACCTCCCAATGATCTCCTAGGTCCATGCGTACCTGTTCCGTTACGTGGGTTGCGGGGACTCCTCCCAACAGGGACCCATCCACTTGTTCGAACCGTATTGGTTGCGGCAATGGATATATCCGGAACCCACTATCCACCGCCACCTTCCTGCTCATCAGACACCGCGTGCACCCCGTATCGATCAAGGCCTGACACGCCTTCTGTACCCCTGTTACCGGACTCGTGAGAACTATAGGGAGGATAAACGGATTAATAGGGTCACTCACCATTGGATCGCCCAATACGTCGTCAGGGTTGTCCTCCTCGTCTCCCAGCTGGTACCGTGCCATAGCTGTAGACTCCGCCATGACCGGAGACCCCTTGTTCGGCCCTGGGGTTGGCTGTTGAATAGTCGCCCTCGAACTCTCCGTCGGTTTCTTTACGGGCATGGCTCTACCACTTGTTGCGCCCTTACGGGGGCTGGGTGCTGGGCAGTCGGCTGCTCGATGGCCCGGTTGGTCGCAGCGGAAACATCGGAAACCGGCTTCTTTTGACGCCCCGGGTGGTTTTGGCGGTATCCGCTGTTGGTCCTGGCTTCCCTCACGAGGCTTCTCTCCGAGACGCCGCGGCCGCGGAACGTCCCCGATCCCTCGATATACAGCCTTAAGGCCTGCCTCGAGTTCGACCACCACCCTAAACCAGTCTCTCAATCTGTTGGGCACACCCCGGTACACGCAGGCTTGCCGTAGGTCATAGTCTAGGCCTGCTCTGAATTGGTGTACCAACATCCGCTCCGGCCATGAAGACTGCAACCGGCCGGCTAACTTCCGGAACTCCCGCACGTATTCGACGACTGGGCGGTTCCCCTGGTGAAGCGCCAGCAGGTCTGCCTCGGCCCTCTGCGCCCGGGTGGGATCCTCAAACCTCCCATGCAGAGCATCCAAGAACAGCCCCGCATTCCCCAACTCTCGGGCATGGTCGCTGTACAGGTCGGCTGCCCATGCAGCCGCCTCCCCGCATAAGGCGGCGGTAATGGCGCCGACCATAGCCCACTGGGAGACGTACAGCTGTGCAAACTGGTCCAGGTGGCTTATGGCCTGGCCTAAGAACATTGCCAGGTGGTCGGGGTTCCCATCAAAGGTGACCGGGATAGGAGGCACCCCCCATGGATAGGCCGGCCCCCACGGTCCCTGGGGTTGGCCTGGCCCAAGGTTCGGATACCCAGCCGTGAAGCCCTGCTGCTCCACACCCCCTGGCCTCGCTGAACCTTTTGCCACATCCGTGGGGCCGCCCGGCTGAGCTGAGTGTGCCTGACCCGGTGGCCTGCTCGAAAGGAGGCCCAGGGTTCCCAACCCACCCGTGGGATTAGGCAACCGCAGCCGCGGACTACTCAGGCGGAACCTAGATGAGGGGGTGCGGCCCGCAGCTTCCCCTTCCGATTGCCACGTATCGGCGGCGTCCCTATAGCTTGCTTCGCCAAACCGATGGCGCAATATATCCATGGTCTCCTGCCCCGGGGCCGTAGAGTAGCTCCAGTCTTCATCATCCTCCATGGTGGCACGTCTCTCCCTCCACCCCGAAAGACTGGGCTTCGGCTTCGGTGTTTTTAGCTGTTCGGGTTGCAATCCCGTTACCGCCGGGCTTTGCCACCACTCCTCCTGTGGCTTAGCGGCCTCTACCTCCCCCACGTCGAGTGCTGGGACCGTAGACAGTAGCAGTTTCGGCCACACCACCGGCTGGGCTGGCGCCGCCTCCGCCGCCGGGACCGCGTCCGCAGCCCCGTCGGTCGCCACCTCTCCCTCAGCCAGGGCGGGGCCCTGCGTTCCCTCCGCCATACCTGAGCCTTCCACCGCACGTGGGAGCGGGCGGCTGGAGAAACGTTAGAGGTGTGAGTGCTGACTTTATGTCAGAATATCCGATGTCGTCCGTAGCGCGAAGGCAAAGAAGACCGGCACACACTGACACCCAACAAGCACTTTATTATGCAAGTGAGACAAAGTCAGCACTGGTGTTAGTTATCTCCCACCGCCATATATCGGCGTGCTCCACCCTGTGGGTCCGCCCCCGGTTCCAAACCACCATCCGTTCCAAATGAATAAATGCCCCACCCTTTCCCTGTTACTTTCCCTTTCCCCGACGGAACTCCGCCCCCACCCCCCGTTGTCCGTGCGCCCGAACCGCGCGCCAGTTGCCCGCCGCCAAACTTGCCCTGCCTACCGTCCTGGTTGCTAAAGGATAACCCCCCACCCCCCTTTGCTGGGTCCGGCCGCCGGAGTGCAGTCCTCTCGGCCCTAGATGGCCCGCCTTCCGCAAACTGCAGCTGGCATTCGTGGTCCTCCGACCCTGCCGGTAACGGGCCTCCCTTGGGTTTCGCTGGCGTCTGTGGCGTAGCCCACGGAGATGTCTGTTCAGTTGAGGTTCGGCGGGTGCAGCCATGGGGCGTGGCGGGGCAGTGCTCAGCTGTTTCCCGGGCTGGTAGGTCGTTATCCACGCTCCCCCGTCCCCGTTCGTATGGCAAGCCTTTAGGGGCTTGACAGGTGTTGCCCATTGGCTGGGTGTGGCCAATTGGGTGGGTGTGACCCATTGAGTGGTCATGGCTGCGATGGTAACGGTAGACTGGGTAGGACTAAAAAGTTCAATCAATCAATTCTAGCTTTGCAAAATCTTTTTTTTTCCCACAAAAAGTTAAAATTGACTGATTGATTGAACCTTTTTTTTTTTTTGCACATGGCGGCGGATGCCTAAAGCAAAAAGGTTTTATAAAACTCAGCTGAGAGCCTAGGACTGGGGCAACGGCACACATACCCACAGAGAGGGCTCTGAGTGCCGCCTCTGGCACCCATGCCATAGGTTCGCCACCACTGGTTTAATGTATGTAAAGAGATACAGTACTGATTTGGAAGATATAGAAATACAATTAGGAATGATGCCGTGGGTAATGTATGTAGATATATTACCTGGAAGGACAAGCCTTTTGTGACTCCCTTAGGCCCCTGTGTTGAAAGTGTTTTGATCACTACAAATCCGTGCTCTGATTAAGCATGTCCTAGACTCTGTTACTATGGAATTGTTGGATCTCCTTGCAAAATGGCATATATTGATGAGCTAGCCTTGGAATAAAGTCCTTTTATGTCAACTTCATCTTTTCTGATTTCAGATACCAGTATCCTAGTACTGATGAACTCGCTGAAATGCTTCCCGCTGTTCTTATGCACCTGAGGCAAGTATGCAGAATAACCCAATCACAGATGCTAAATAGCCTTTCTTTGATGTTTGTCCAGAGGAGAAATAACAGCTGTTATCATATTGCAATAAAGACAATGGTTGTAAAGTTTATTCAGATGCCATTTGTAGAATCTTATTTCTTAACATAAATCATATAAAGGAAAATGGTATAAGTAGTATGATATTAAGGTTCCATAAATTGGAGGGTCCTGCTAATAAAAAGTATACTAAGGGATTCTCTTCATTTTCAACTTTTTTTCAGCCTAAAAAGTGTAATTGGAATAGGAGTTGGAGCTGGTGCCTATATTCTCAGCAAGTTTGCGGTAAATAGCATTTGTTTGTGCTCATTTCTTTGTTTCAGCTAATTAAGTCTATTTAGGCTCTAGATGTCCATGTAGAATTCAAACATAGGAGTGATACATGTAGTAGTGAGCAGAACGTTTTGCCAATAGTGGCAAAAACAGACTCATTCTTTAGAGGTATAAATGCCCTAAAATGATGACTAAATTTGAGGCAGTTTATTCAAGATTATGGTTATCATGCTATTGTAAAAAACAATTAGTGCATCATCATCTTCTCATAAAAAAGAGTACATTTACTTTTGAAAACTACTATAAATTTGCCAGCACTTCCTTGTGTTCTAAGTTATATTCCCTAACACTATGGCCACCTTAAAATTATGTTTTAGTCATTCCTTCTTATTCATAATTTATACTTCATTATTAGATTATTTTGTACAACTCAAGGTGGCAAACATAATGATTGCCACAATAAACTGTTTATTTCCTATGTTTATATATTCATTTGATATATTTATTATACTGTCATAATAAAAATAAACCAGAATGCAGCATAAATAATCAGAAAAATAAAACTTTAATATTTTCCATTCTGTTTTTAGTTGAATCATCCAGACTTGGTAGAAGGCTTATTGCTAATTAATATTGATCCATGCGCAAAAGGTTGGATAGATTGGGCAGCATCCAAGGTAGGATGGAACTCTCTGTTTTGTGACCAAGGTGATAATATTGTCCTGCAAGACTAGAAATTCAAAAAATAACTGAATAAGTATTTGTTATGGACTATCACTTTTTTTCTTTTTCAAACCCAAAGAAAGATGAAAGAATAGAGAAGTAGCTTTATTTATTTAACATACTGAAATGTATTTTGATACATTTTATGTAGCTGTATTCTAGAGTTTCTCTCAGCCATAAACCTGGCCTTGGGTCAAATAATGCATGATTTAGAGAGAATATCTGCATGTATTTCTAATACTAGAATTACAGATGGGTGAAACAAGCATGTGAAAAGGCAGGATGTGTTAATATAGAACTGAGCAGTGCCAATATGTAATTTTGTTTTGGTTTGTTTATTTTTTTAGCTTTCTGGATGGACAACTAACCTTGTGGATATTGTTTTAGCTCACCATTTTGGCCATGTAAGTTAATTACAAATTTTAATATTGAAAATGCCAGTATATATAAAATCAGCCTTACATATACTAATAAACTGTTCTTGTTCCTAGCTCAGGAATTGTTTATAAAAATGCTTATGGTTTCATAACTTTAAGTTTTATTCCTGAGATAGGTGTGACAGAAGACTGATAGATAGTAAGTATAAACTGGAACTCAGGACTTCTGCTGTTATATAGTTTTTACCTGCTTGTAGTCTGCAGCGTACATTACCTTCTTAGTTTTTACAAGATGACTGAAGTGTGCTTACTTTTTTATAGTACAATTAACCAGGCAAATAATTATAATATTTGTCATTCCTCAGGAAGAACTGCAGGCTAATCTGGAGCTAATTCAGACATACAGACTTCACATTGCACAAGATATCAATCAGGAAAACCTTCAGCTCTTTGTTACCTCCTATAACAGGTAATGTGTCTATTTTGGATCCACACTGAAAAAAACTGTTTCATTTTTTCCAGTCTAGTTTTGAAAGTATAAATAATGCTTTAAGCAGTAGATAAAGAACATTCTCAAATCAGTATATTTAAAGTGTTCCATAATATTTAGCTTTAATTTCAATTGTAGAGAGCCTGCAAGATAGTTTAGGGCAGGGGCTCCCAAACTTTTCTATACCCCACAACCCTAGAGCGCTTCTGATATATTCTTGCACCTCTTACAAAAGTTCGAAATAACAGCAACAAATTATGCATATACACTATAATTTTGAAAACCCAAGTTTTTGCACCCCTGAAATATCATCTCACACCCCCAAGAAGTGCGAGCACCCCTGGTTGGGAAACCCTGGTTTAGGGGAAGAAATCTTACTCTTTTTTTTTTTTGTCTTAGTTTTTCATTTTTATTATCATTATAGTCAGTAATGTTGTAGATTTTTTTTCCCACAACAAAACCTCTTCTAATTATTTCTTCATAATTTTCTACTTTTTTGTTTAAGAAAGAAGCAGTACATGAATATCGCTTTAGAAACAGGATATTTAGAAAGGGCCCCCTCATCAAGCTAAACATGTGTTCCAAATCAGATGCAATGCGAGAGATGCATGTTCTGTTCTCTCAATAGTTTCTCTTTATTTCAAAAGTGTGTGTGTGTATTTGAAATATCTGTTATTTTAACATACGTGGTCCAGTGGTTTTTAAGAACTAGCTTAAAAAAAATTAGAAATTATTGGGACATCTGATTCTGTGTCGCCCACGTTATATATTATTTAACAAGGGTAATAAGCATATATCAATCCATTCTTAGAACATTCATAGCCATAGTTTGAGACTAGATCCATTTAACTAACCAGTTCTGACAAAACTAATACTGAGATTAGATGGTTTTAGCCCCATATTTTTATTACCAAGGTTCAGTACTTCAGTAGTTTCATATTTTTGCCCATGATAAGTAGTCATAATCTAATGACACAAGATCTCTGTCTTATCCAGTACTTCCCAGACTACAAATGCTTACTTGCTTATTTATTTATTTATAAAGCTTCTGTATCACTTCAATCACAATAGACTAAACAAGTCTGTCTTTACCTTCAAGTCGCAGAGATCTGGATATTGAAAGACCAATCTTGGGTATGAATGAAGAAGCAGCAAAAACACTCAAGTAAGATGTTTTGGCTGTCTTTCAAGCATATTGCTTGAAACTGAGTGGATTTTCTTTTCTTTTTTCTTTTTCTTTTTCTTTTTTTTTTTTGCCCTGTATTTCCTTTGGTTGGAAAAGTTATCTCCCTTCCCTCACTTTTTCTAGTGCTTCTGATAGATGTAGTAGCAAGCTTTTATGTATATTTTATATATTGCATATAAAATTATTTATATTACATATGCACGTATGTGTGCACTATAGACACATGCAAAATATTTCAACACTCCTTTTTGCGGGCTGAGTTTTTAGCTTTCATAAGCCTTCAGCTGAATGGTGTATTGTAGGGTTAATCTTTGCCCTGAAGCAATGTCTGTATAAATTCATCATGCTGAGTATATTCCTGCAGCATGGCAGAGACTCTTGTAACAGAGAGGTGGGAAACGGACTAGAAAGTAACAGAAACATTGAGCTCTCCAAGAACCTACTGAAGTTTATTATTCCTAGTCCCTTGAACATTCAGAGAAAAGGACTGAAAACAAAACAGACTCTTTGGGGCCTCAGCAGTCCAAATTTAGAAATCAGAGTAATGCTCAAAACACGGTATCTAACCAGGAAAGTAAATGGATCTGGTGGCAGCAGCGGTTTGAAGCTTGTTCTGCTTTCACACCAGTAGTCTAAGTAAGTGTTCCAGCTTCGTCTGTGAGCCTGTAGACTTGAATAGGGCCCCATCCTTTACTCTTAAGTAAGACTTTCCAGCATGAGGAACCTGCTCTTTTCTGTGTCAGGGTAATGAGCTGAATCCCAGCCAGGCAGCATGGGGGGGGGGGGCAGTTTGTTTTCCTGATGAGGTAATCCAGCAGGTGTTTTCTCTGTAGACTTCTCTTTGTTGTCTTTGTTATCATCCAACTCACACACCTGCCTTTTATTCAGAGCAGCCTTTATGTTTAGCAGGCACCGAGCTGTCAGGCATTCAGACTGTGGTACACTGGTTTACTTATAGGAAAGCTTGTATTTTCCTTTCATTATACCCAGTGCTGCTACCCCTCAAACATTCTGACAGCTAGAAGTGGTATTCTGATATATGGCAAAGTATTTAAGGACTTTATGCCCAATATATATTAATTTATGTATTGTAATCAAATGCTGAGTAAGATTGGAAAACTTGTTACACAAAGCTCTGTCCCCATTGAAATGGAGTTTGAACATGTTCTGATGCCCTATATGTTCTACTTTAATGTTGCATTATTAAAACATGATCCAGATATGAGCATGATCAAAAAATTAAAAAGCAGGATTTTGACAACAGAAGATGGTATTAATACAGGTATATCCATGGGGAACATCACAGAGCAGCAAGTGATGAAAGCATTGCAGCACATCCCCACACATTTTGTACATAATCATTTTGCACACACATAAGGGATGGGATTTGCATTATGATAGCACACAATTTCAGCATTTTGACAAAGCTTTGGAACCTGCAGAAAACTCATCTGATGATTGTATAGATTATAATGCTAAACTGTGGCTTCTTTACAGGTGCCCTGTCTTATTGGTAGTTGGAGACAGCTCTCCTGCAGTTGAGGCTGTGGTAAGTAACCTAATCATTAGTTATTTCCTCAATGCGATCTTGCTGTAATTTCATTTATGTTTTTTCAAATTTTCCTTTACTGGAGGAAGTAGAATTTTCTACATTTGGAATTTGCTTTATTTGAAGCATGTACAATGAGGGAAGAATTTATTTGATCCCCTGCTGATTTTGTATATTTGTCCACTGACAAAAAAATGATCAGTCTATAATTTTAATGATAGGTTTATTTTAACAGTGAGAGATAGAATAAACAAAAATTTTCAAAAAAATTATAAGTTGATTGCATTTTAATGAGTGAAAGAAGTATTTGATCCCCTATCAATCAGCAAGATTTCTGGCTCCAAGATGTCTTTTATACAGGTAACGAGCTGAGATTAGGAGCACTCTCTTAAAGGGAGTGCTCCCAATCTTAGCTTGTTACCTGTATAAAAGACATCTGTCCACAGAAGCAATCAATCAGATTCCAAAGTCTCCACCATGGCCAAGACCAAAGAGCTGTCCAAGGATGACATGGACAAGATTGTAGACCTACACAAGGCTGGAATGGGCTACAAGACTATCACCAAGCAGCTTGGTGAGAAGGTGACAACAGTTGGTGCGATTATTCGCAAATGGAAGAAACACAAAATAACTGTCATTTTCCCTTGGTCTGGGGCTCCATGCAAGATCTCAACTCGTAGAGTTTCAGTGATCATGAGAATAGTGAGGAATCAGCCCAGAACTACACAGGAGGATCTTGTCAATGATTTCAAGGCAGCTAAGATCATAGTCACCAAGAAAACAATTGGTAATACACTATGCCATGAAGGACTGAAATCCTACACAGCCTGCAAGGTCCCCCTGCCCAGAGCACATGTACAGACCCGTCTGAAATTTGCCAATGAACATCTGAATGATTCAGAGGAGAACTGGGCAAAAGTGTTGTGGTCAGATGAGACCAAAATCAAGCTCTTTGGCATCAATTCAACTCACCATGTTTGGAGGAGGAGGAATGCTGAGAACACCATCCCCACCGTCAAACATGAAGATGGAAACATTATGCTTTGGGGATGTTTTTCTGTTGAGGAGACAGGACAACTTCATTGCATCAAAGGGACAATGGACAGGGCGATGTACTATCAAATCTTGGGTGAGAACCTCCTTCCCTCAGCCAGGGCATTGAAAATGGGTTGTGGATGGGTATTCCAGCAACCAATGACCCAAAACACATAGCCAAAGCAACAAAGTAGTGGCACAAGAAGAAGCACATTAAGGTCCTGGAGTGGCCTAGCCAGTCTCCAGACCTTAATCCCATAGAAAATCTGTGGGGGGAGCTGAAAGTTCGAGCTGCCAAACATCAGCCTCGAAACTTTAATGACTTGGAAATGATTTGGAAAGAGGAGTGGGACAAAATCCCTCCTGAGATGTGTGCAAACCTGGTCGCCGACTACAAGAAATGTCTGACTTCTGTGATTGCCAGCAAGGGTTTTACCACCAAGTACTAAGTCGCGTTTTGCAAAGGGGCAAAATATTTCTTTCACTCATTAAAATCAATTTATAACTTTTTTGAAATGCGTTTTTCTGGATTTTTTTGTTATTCTGTCTCTCACTGTTAAAATAAACCTACCATTAAAATTATAGACTGATCATTTCTTTGTCAGTGGGCAAACATACAAATCAGCAGGGGATCAAATAATTTTTCCCTTCACTGTAAATAATTTATCTGCATTTTAATAATATATTATTATTTTTAATATAGGCAGTTTTCTGATTTTAAGATATAAGATACAAGCAAAGATTCCTAAGTGGGGGATCTCAACAGTCGTTAATATAAGTAACTAAAGAAGTTTGAATTTTCCTTTCAAAATGGAATATTTGTATATTCAGAACTACATAGCACTTTGTGATTTCAATGGAGACGATCTAAATTGCATGATTTCCTGTATTCCTCTGAGTTGGTTTAGTCTGCAGATTGTATACAGACAAAGCAAACGCCAAAAGCATCTCTGAAGGAGTTGGTTATATGAATTGGATTTGTCACTTCCTAAAAGTTTAGGATTCTTAATCCCATCCACATTTGACTCTTTATATTGCAGACTACATGGGATTTTCCTTTTTTTCTTGATAACAATCTTGATAATTTTGTAAAAATTAGTTTGTGAAACAGAGACATGCCCAGTGAATTTTTTGACTGGGTGGTTATTGAACATACATCTGAGTCCAACATGCTATTCGCTACTACAGCTGTTGATGTTGAAGCCTTCTTGAAAGCTGACAGAGTGGTGATGTGATCAGGTTTGTTCTAGCAGTCAGATGCTGAAATGCAACAGTTATTACAGGAAATATAGGATTATTGTCTTTAAAATTAGTGACTGTAACTATAGTATTTTAGTTTTAAGTCTTTTGCTTCTAATATATAGATACTGTTGTTGCTGAGGCATTGGCTTCCTAGGGAGGGCTTTGAATTACACATACATACACACATTATTTTATGTTTCATAGGTTGAATGCAATTCACGCCTAGATCCAATTAATACCACACTCCTGAAGGTAACCAAAAATTAAAGATTTCTGTAATGAAAGGTGATCCCCTACTGTGGGCTTTCTATGAAACTTGTAGTAGGGGATTGTGGGAAGAATGATTTCTTAACAACAATTCATTCAGCAACTGTCTAAAATTACGCTAGAAGTTATGATAGCACTGAACGAAACAACTTATCACCCATGCCCACCCAAAGTTATAGCCATTGCAGTACCCCCAGGGTCACGAGATAAAAATTAGGGTGCTTGGCAGTCTGCTCTTACTTACTTACAACCACAGGGGTGCTACAACTGTCCCACTCACCTATTTCCCTCCACATCTGTGCCCTTTTGGTCCTCTGCAACCCCGCGCTGTACTGGCCTGACTGCTGAACCATATGAGCTGGCTTTGCATGATGGAAAGGGGGGGGGGGAGACACAAAGTAGCCTCTTCCAGAGGAAGAATATGCCAAAATACTACTTTTTACCACACTCTTGGACTGTTTGAGGGTGGTTTTGCATTGTGAAAAAGGAACAAAGGGCTAGGAGCAAGAAAATGGCAGTGTGAAGGTGAGCTTGGGTGGCAGAGCGCATGGCAGCAGGGATCTCAGTGTGCAGTTTAGCAAGGGCGATTAGGACTGGACTGGGATGCTTGCAGCTTTCTGGAGCATGGCGGATCTGGGACTACTTGCTGCCCAGCAAGGCAGAGTGCTGGGCAATTGAAAGGGTAGAGATAGTGCAAGAGATGGGGAGGGGGCATTAGAAACCTCACTAAAGTTTGGAGCTGGGTGGTATCAAGCCCAGAATGGCTTGGATTGTGATGGGTTCTCAGCTAACAACTGGTGAAATACACATAACAGTGGCAATAGGGATTGCCAGGCTGGTGGTTGCTAAGGACTATAATCACATGATGGCTCACTTTACAACTATATTGCTTAGCGAAATTCAAGTCCCAATTGTTGTAAGGCAAGAACTTCCTGTAGAGATATTTAGGGATTTATATATGTTTATAGCCCCCCAGTATTAATTTTACAAATCTCCAACCGACATGGTTCACGAATCTCTTCCAGTTTAAAAGAACAAGTCCTGATGTGTTATTTATTCCATCCTAGTAGCTAGGTGAGAGTGCATTTATTACATGTTTTATATATCTATTTTGTCTTTTCCTGTTTTGCCAATGTTATGTTTTATTGTCTCCCTTTTGCAGTATATCAGGGACTTGTATTTACCTAGAAAAAAGTTCAGTTTTAAAATGTGTTTTGCCTCTCTACGTATAGTACTCTGATGGAATCACTTAATAGATTTATAGCTTTTTTTTTTTTTTTTGACCATCCATTTTTCTCTTCCAGATGGCAGATTGTGGGGGATTGCCCCAAGTTGTTCAGGTATACTTTTATTCTAGGAATTGTGATACTTACTGCATCTAAAGGATATCCATCTAATCATTTATTGCAGTTTTTTAAAAAATACCAAAAGAATTTGTAACATCTAACAAATTAATTAATTAATTATGAAATAACAAAAGGAACAACAAAAGGAAAAACTAAAAAATTAGACTGGAAAATATCCTGAAAATCAACAAATATATATATATATAAACCACCCAAATATAATTATTTAAATATGTAATAATGCCTCAAATTGTATATAGCAATACTTGCATCTACTTCTTGATTATTATTTTTCTCTTGCAGCCTGGGAAGCTAACTGAAGCTTTCAAATACTTTGTTCAAGGAATGGGTTACAGTAAGTGATAATATATTGCCTTTGCATTAATTTCCATTTGGAACCTACTAAGTGACTGAGATTATTTATTTCTCAATCATAGATCCTATTCTGTACTTTGGCCATCGTAAATTCATACACATTATTGTACTGGAAGATAGTTTTGTCTACCACAGTAGGACATTTGTAAAGCAGCATTAATCATCAGTCCTTGAATTACAATTCTGCCTTTTAATGATTTGTTGTCCAGTTTCCAAAAGGCTGTTTTAGAGAGACAAATATCTAACCTGTGCTTAAAAGATTACATCATTACAGTTTTCCCTACCAATAACTTTATTGGCAAAAGTGATGCATAGGCTATTCTTAAAATGTTTATCTGTAAAGGAAATACGCATGAGCGTTTTTCCAATGTGGAAATTAATATCAGATTCAGTAAAAGCCAAAACAACTGAAACCATGTTGTAAATTGCCCAAAATATTCTTTATTGTTTTACTAAACAATTCATAAAGTTTATAGAATTCAAAATAGGGAAACGCTTATGGTCAGGCAAGGCTTACATTGTCTCAAGTTTGTTATAACTACCCTAACTTTGTTTCCCATTCCCTCTCTTATCTCTGCTTCCAGTCCCTTACATGCAACTCAGTCACCTGAACACTGAGTCAGGTATCTACAAGTATATGTCTGGTTTGGCCGAGTTCCATTTTTCTTATGCATTATGCCGCTTACAGCATGGCCTGGTGATCTTTGGCACTCCAAGCCATCTCATTGTATACTTTTTGTGCTACAATCTTTTTTAGTGGTTTAATTTGCATTGGTTTGACTATTGCATGGTTTGCAGCTAGATATGGTGCAGGAATCAAATAAACGAATTCCAGCTTTCTGAGAAAGCTTCATGGGCTATCCATGTGTATAGAGGGGAGAGGACATGACTGCTTTGCACAGAATGTTGCTGATTGACTGTATCAGGGTGTTCCCTGATCAAAGGCTTGTACAACCATTTCACTTCTTAGAGTGAAATGTTATGTAGGAGAAACATTATTCCTAACTCTTCTTCAGCAAAATATATAGGTAGTTGGAGGGTATTTTAAAGAAGCAGTTACAAGTAAAAGTACAAAGTGAAAATTAAGCTCAACTGGGAGGGAGAAGTGAAAAGGAATTTTATTTGCAAGCAAGATCTGAAGATGAGAAAGGATTTAAGCTGTTCCTGCATTTTACTCCAGCAAGTACAGATTAATGAACTGTGAACAGAGTGATGCCCGATTTGCTTTTCAGCAGCAGCTCTCCTTTTCTTTCTGCCTTCTCCATTATAAGACCTCTGAGGCAGTTAAAAAAACATTTGTTATTTCTGGCATTCACTGCCTCTCTCCTTACAGTGCCATCTGCAAGTATGACCAGATTGATCCGTTCCCGGACCCAGTCATCTTCAAGTGTAGGTTCTGGAGAAAGCACTCAATCACGGTTTCAAGCTAACCACCTAAGGGAGGTGAACATGGGAATACCTGAAACTACTGAAGTCCACGGCAATCCTCAGACTATGGAAGTATCCTGCTAAGCAAGCATGAGAATCCAGACCATTCCTTTTCTCTCTTCTGCACCCATCCAACAAATGGCATTAAAAAATTTTCCCCCTCATTATGCCTGCTAGCTTTTCACCTGTCTCTTTGGTGTTATATTTAGTTATCTTTGTACAGAAACTTTAGCTGCCTACAGATGTACTGAACAATAGCTGCTGGAGGTACAGGAGTGATTTTTGAGCTCTGATACTTTTTTGCAGGCTCTAGATCAAAAGCTGGGTCTCTCTTTTTGCCTTTTTCCCCTCCCTCCAGGGAAACTGCACATTTTGTTTTAATTCCTTCCACCTCTCCATCACACCTTCATATTTATCTGCTTGAAATACTTGGTGCTCTTTAAAAGATGTTCCCTGGTGTGGTGGTGGTGGTTTTGATTTCTTGAAAATGGCTGTTTGGTTCAGCCAGTTGATTCTATGTGCAGAACCTTGCTTTGTAACATGCAAGGGAAAGAAATACTTTCATGGATGATGCAAGGGCTTGCTAATTAACGCTGTATAAATCCAAATCTAGCTTGTTCTCAGTTAAATATGACAAAATAATGTGTGTGTCATAAATGTGGTAAATGCGCTTCCACAGTGGGCTTGCCACTGAAATTGTATACATCTGTATGCGTCCATTAACTACTAACTTCCATTGGTGCTAGGCAAGATGAAGATGTCTTCATTTCCCCTGGCCTCCTATGCTATCCGATCATTTGAAAACAGTGAGTCTCTCCTGTCTTCTTGAAATCCAGATGATCATTTTTGTGGTTTTTTGACTTGGAATTGCTTTCTAGTGTGCTTCTGCTAAAAGGCGTTAAAGCTTTTGACTGTGGTCCTAACAATATCTTTGGAGTTCTGATTGGAGAGGACATCTTTGATTCAGAACTCCAACAGTGGATCTATTTATGGTCTAACTCTTGAGATCATAACATAATATATGAGTTGTACAAGAGTTCTATATTTCCTAACTGAGCAGGAGAAAGTAAGCTGTTTCCTGTTGGTTATTCAGAAGCACTTCTCACTAGAACAATTAGGTTACAAGAAGAATGAGATATTTAGCCCAGTTTAATTTCCAACAAAGAGGGCATATTATTCAACTGTGTGTATAAAATAGGCAAAGTTACATTATAGTAGATTTAGAAATAGAACCAGATGATATTTAGTATAATTCCCAACATCCTATACAATGAGTTTCTGAAGCTGAAAACAAACAAAAAAAATCCAAAGTTGAAAAAAGATACTAAACCAAATATCTTAATTTTCACAAGTGATTAGAAACTTTGATAATAAATTATGCACCCTTAATTTCTAAAGGGAATTAAATGTATTAATTCAGAGATATATTTATAATTATTGAAATAAGATAAATTATATTAAATTGAACAACATAATTCTAAATTCTGCTTTTGAATAGTTGAGTAAGAAGACAATGCTATTCATATTGACCCTAAAAATAAATCTCATTGAATTTAATGGGTTTCCTTCCCATCTAAGTGTATGTGGGGACTGGACTAAGCTTGAATGAATGAATGAATATATATATATATATATATATATATATATATATATATATATATATATATATATATATATATATATATATATATATATATATGGAAATTATTCATTCTGTATTTGAAAGACTAGTTCAGCATTTATTATAATGCTAATTCTGTATCTGTGAAAGAACATTTGGTTCTTTATGTAGATTTTCCCTCCACTATTTTCATTAAAACAAATATTTTATTATGGACTATTACTGAAAAAAAAAATTCTCTTAACTTAGAAGGAAAATATGTACACACACACAAACACGTACATAAATATATATAATTTATATTCTGATGGAAATAGATTAAAATTAATGATTAAGTGCACTAAGAATCAGGCAGTTTGGGAAATAAAATATCTGCTTCACTGGGATTTCAGAATATAATTCTAAACAGACTGTAGAATTGAACTAACTCAGGATTTCTGAACTCATAGCTAGTTTTGTAGCGTTTCTCCCAAGCAGATGCATTACTAAAAATACAAAAGGGAAATATCTAAACTGAAATATTTGTTCTTCTTGGGTTATATAAAACTATTATTTCATTTAAATACTAGTTAAAGGAATGCTTTGATGTACTTTATATTGTAAAAGTATGCTCTGCTTATGGCCTGTATATTATATATGTGTTTATAAAGGCTATCTATAGTGTGTGTGCGCGCACATGTGCATGTGCGCACACACACACATTCATTCCATGTAGTGCTATTAAATTTAATTCTCTGCTCCTGGTAGATATTTTTACCATGAGAATTAGAAAGTTCCTAAATCATATTATTTTCTTGAATTCAAAATAATTTTGTGTTTTCTGATTTTAGCTGGGAGAGAGAAAATATAAATCATCTTTAGACAGTGAGATTGCTGCTATTGGGAAGAGAAATGAAGCAGCATTTTTCATGAAACTATGGCAAAATATCAACTTTTTACTGTTGTGTATTGTTTATAAGGCCAAGATCTTCAGGAAATGTCAGATTCAATTCTGTTTCAGGTAGAGGAAAGGGACTGGAAGATTTTGCCAGGGGGGAAATTTAAAGCAGTTAAATAAAGTATAATCAATTTTAATTGTTAAGGTGATTGTCTCTGTGTCCTTTGTTCCTCCCTTTTGGCTTGATATATAATCACTTGAATTCCAAAATGATCAAATTAGTTTCCCCAAGCTTAGAGATAGTACAAAAATTTAGAAGCTTTCCTCCTTTTTCTGATGACCTAATTGCCAATCAAATAGAAATGTTGGACAGGAAGCAAGAAGGAGAGAAAGCAAGATGGCTGCCTGGGAGCTCAGCCACCACAGTTCTTGTGAAAAAGAAGCTGAATAAATAGAACAAAGTCTGGAAATCAAATAAAGAAGCATTTTTTTTAAATAAACATGAAAAATAGACGTGATGAGAGGCAATAGGAAAGGAAGCAGCAAATGAGAAAACTGAGAGGACAGAGACATTTATTTCCTCCCTTCAGAAAAACGTTTTTCTTCCCTCAGATGGAATGCAAATTTAGAAGCTGAGAAGACTGAAGAAGGCCAGTCAAGAACAAACAGAAAATTAGAAATGTACATTTTTCTTTCATCCTAGGAAGTAAACATTTTTTTAACAAAAACAAAAGCACTTTTTAAATAAAAAAACTCCTAATTTAATAAAACCTTCAAGAGAGATAATACATGCGATAGTAGGATCTAAGAAATTAGAGACAGTCTTCTTTCTGGTATCTTTTTTTTTAATCACGTGTGAATCAACTTCTAATTTTGTATTAATATCCAGTGTACATAGATTTCTCCCCCTGCCTATTCTCACATAGCCTTTCATTGTGCCAGATTAAAAAGCCAAGATTGTTCAAATGTGACTTGTGAGTTCTCCTTTGCATAAACTCTAGATATGTTTAATTATGCTGTCAAAAAGCTCCACTTCACCCTGGTGGAATTTTTGTTTACTCTTTAAAGCTCTGGTGTTAGTACTCTGAGGCACTATAACTGATTTTTCAGTTTTTCAGAGTACTTCATTTGGAATCCCATATGCTCTAAAAAGTTTGCTTGCAGCATGTATGTTCAAAGAGTTTGGTTTGGTATTTTGGTAAAAATTATTAAGCTATTTTTTTGGGGAACAGCAATGCAGAGTAAATGACCTATCTGAAAATAATTAGGCAAGATACTATTACTCCACAAGCTTAACTGGCTTTAGATGTTCGAAAAATGTACAAAATACAAGAAAACTGACCGAGCAAGAACACAAATATGTTAATGTCACTGATCTCTGGCTCCACCTTTTTTTCCAACCATTGTTGCTCTGGTTTTATCAGAAGCTTGGTTATGTAGTTTGTATTTGTGCACACAGAAATGTGCAGGGTTATAGTTTAGCTAGATATGATAATTTATGCTACTTTTAGCCTACTGGAACAGATAAGATTTCATAAATTACCAGCAGGGAATAAATAATCCCAAAGCTTCCAGCTGCCAGTCAGAAGGTGGCATGATGGTGACAGATATTTAAACTTGACTATGCTTCATGTGCAAAGAGTTCAAGTCCACTTTAAGAATAAATTAAGTCTAAGGTAAGCATGTATAGCCTTCAAGAGAACTTCCATTTTCTCCTGTGTAAGAATATTTTATTCACTAATATGCACTAATCCACACTTTTTGGAATCTGAAGACACTTTTGAAATTATTGAGAGTAAACAGCCAAATGGTTGCCATGGTAAACAAGCTGCAAATCATCCTTTTACCACAGTTTTTATCCCTGTAAAATTGTTATCCCTTCCACCTTTTATGTTCTGAGGGGAAGATTTGCAAAACAACATCGACCAAGAAGTTGTTTTTATAACTGGGTGGTTATGTCCTAACAACCTTAGAATTAAAGATTATTTTGGAGATATACTTTGCAATGCTCATTTTATCATTTAATTTCTTTAAAAAATAAAATAAAAACAGGACAAAGATGACTATTGTATAAAGTGCACTTTCTACCCTTGTGCACTATTTTGAGAGTGCTGAACACTTATAGCAATATCTTTGGGAACTAATTTATCACACAGTGGTTTTCTGTGGAGAAAAATGAAACAGTCATCAACCACCTTTCCATTACGTCAAAGGAAACTGAGCTATTTGTGAGTTCTTAGAATTTAACACTTCTTAATAACATGCACTCAAACTATAAAAGTTATACCAGTGTGCTGTGTATCATGCATGGGCGCACTTGGCATTAAGAAGGATCAAGATAGCATTATTGCTTTGATATTATTTGCACCTCTATACTGCATGACAACAGTTGCCTGAAAGACAGCAGCAAAAGATCCAAACCTATAGAAAAATAGTTTGCAGGCAACTCATGACATTTGTATTCCAAGAAACTTCCACTAAAGAAAAAGTCTTTCTTTGGAGCACCCATATGAATTGTGCTCTAGTTAGAATTGGATGTTGTCATCAGTTTCCAGAGCTCCTACAACCTACATTGAAAGAAAAATTCCCTACATTGAAAGAAAAAAGATCATCTATCTGAAGACCTGGCTATTGTATAATGAAAGGTGAGTACAAACTATTTTGAGTTAAAAGAAAAATATGAGATACTATACTCTAGCTAAAATGCTTTTAAAATGGGGGAAGTTAAGAACAACTTCATGAGCCATCAACTGATACAATTTTAGCTTATTATTGTGTAGCAAAATATAAAAGATGATTGCTAGGAATAGTGCAATGGAAGCCAGAGAAGTAGGATAAAGAAGAAGAGCATGGAACTCCATACTTTTTTCAGGAAAGAGCCATTAACTTTTAACAAATTGCAATAGGACACTTATTAGAATTTATTCATAGTGATGTAAGACTGGCTTCCTGAGCAATATTCATCCATCCATGCTCTCCCCTGCTTTCAGAGGGTGTTCCTTCTTTGTGGTATGCTTTAATACTTTCTCGTTCAACACTAATAAAACATCCATCTTAGAAGAAACTAGCAGTTGATTAATTGTAACAGTTGGTTTGTTTTGTATTTTCCTAACAGTCTTCAAGGACAATAATGTGACTTTTTATGTTTCTTTTCTGCCTTTTGTTGATAGGCCTCTCTGAGTGGTATACTAGAAGATTGCTGTTAGCAACAAATTGTGATGGGAAGCTTGCCCAGTAAGAGGAAACAGATTGCTAACCAGACAAGCCCACAACTGAACACATGGTACAGCCAGAGCAATAGCGTAAACCTGCCAGGTAGGGCTGTGCTACCATCAGTCTGAGTCTTAAAACAACAACACATACATACATACATACATATTTTGCCTGTATGCCTATGCCTGTGCCAGACTAAATTCATAATCTCTCAATTTCTAGTCTAGTGACTTAAGCACCACACCAAAGTAGCTCTCTATAACAGCAAAAGAGGGATTTAATCGTATATCTCCTTAGTCTATGCTTCGCGATATTGATTTTGGGGGAAAGAGAAAGAAAACACCTCCAAGCAGAAAAACAGGGGAAAACATTTATAGGCTTCTGGACATCTCATTTTTGTATGCAATGATTTATTTTCATGCATAACAAAACAAGTCATGTGATTTATTACTCGAAAGGTTACAGTCACATGATATACATACATATGAAGTATTGTTTGTGAAATTTATGTCATGTACTGTGATCTGGTTCTGTGTGCCAGTGGAAATGGAAGTCTTTAGCACTTCCATGCTAGTTATCTAGCAGCTTTTATTAATTTTGGTTGAGAAATTCTAAATCCTTGATTGAACATGAAGCTAATTAACATAGCAGCTATAACTATTTAATCTGCCTCACAATGCGGCGGTGAGGAACAATGTGGGACAGATGGTTCCACTGCCAGATGGATTTTCAGTTGGCCAATTTGGAATCCTTGATGGGTCTATATCCACATGGAGGAAGTTATCTCAGGCTTCTATCCTGGCCCTAGGAAAAACTAGATGCACAGGTATGAGACAGATGATACCAGCCTTAGAAGTAGGAACTGTGAGAAGAATCTGGTAGATCATAGACTAAACATGAACCCCTAAAAGAGACTGCAGGTTTCGGCTTCATCACAGAGGTATAGTGTCAAGTTCACAGGAAGTAATAGTACTGATCTATGCTGTATTGGTCAGACTAGAATGTTGTGTGCATTTCTAGTTGCCATAATACTGTATAAAAAGGATGCTAAGGAACTAGAAATAGCTCAGAGAAAAGGAACAATGATGGTAAAGAGTTTGAAAATTAAAATCTACAAACAGCAGTTAAAGGAATTTGGTATTATTAAAGGTATTATTAGCCTAAAGAAGAGGCTAAGGGGAGATATGACAGCTGACTTCCAATATATGAAGGAATGTCTTAAGGTAGAGGCTATGGATTTATTTTCCATAGCACCCAAAGATAAAAGGAGAACCAATGGGGGAGGGGGTTATCTTAACACTAAGAAATAACAGATTTGAAATAAGGAAGTACAGTATTTGCTGATTGTGAGAGCTATTGAGCAGCAGAAAAGCCTGCCTTCTGAATTTGTGGATGTTCCATCGTAATTTTTTTTTTTTTGACAACCCTTTGTCTAGGATAGTATGGTGATCCTGCATCGGGCAAAGATTGGACTAGATTCTACAAAGATCAATTGGTTCTCTGATTTTTTTTTTTTTTACCTTCCTTGGAATAAGGAATGTTGCAAGGGTAAAAATAATCCTGTTCCTAATACCCAGTAAATAATGACCTGATCAAGAGATGGTGTTTTGATAGCTTCCCCTGAATTTGTGAGGGTTGAATAAGAATGAGAATTGAATAAAAGACCTTGTAACACTTTGAGTTTACAGATAGTTTTCTTCACATCTCTAGAATTCCATCAACCCCTCCTGAACTGGGAAATGTGTGAGAAAGGCAGATTAGAGTTCTCCTTAGTTCAATGCTCTTTCTTTACTACCTTACATTTAATCTTCCCCTCATTTTTTAATTTATTGACTGATCTCTAACAGTTTCTAATTAATCTTTGTACTTTACAAGAGAGACTCAGTTTGGTTTAGTAGAAGAAAATCCTGGACTAGGTCGTACATAGAGAAGCCAGCTGGGTGACTCTGGGTCATTTTCTGTGACTCTAGATTGGACAATCGGAAAACATCCTGGAAGAATGTAGTTATACCAGCATTGAAAACTGCATGGATCTGTCCATATAGTTACCAGAAGACTGACTTGAAGAACCATAATCATAAAATTTTAAAATAATGTTTTATTCAGTAGCATTGGTAGTGACCACTTTTAAAAACAAAAGAGCCAGTTTTAGTATCATTCTTAGAGAATTAAATAATAAAATAAGTTGCAAAAATATTAATTACTGTAATTATAGCTATTAGGATAAGTATTCATCATTAGTTGTGGTAAAATAGATGCAAAAAAACAGGTAATTAGTTTTAAAATGTTTTAACTAACAAGTAAACAGCCGAAACTGAAAGGTTGAAGTAGACAAGGTGAAGTGCCCTAGCAAGGGAATTCCACTGGTGGTGTCTGGGTATAGAGAGTACTATCTGGCATTCTCAGTTGAGTGCTTCAGCCTGGGGGGAGGGCAGTAAGGGAAAAACCTTTCTGAGTACATTTGTATAAAAAAGGTGGCTGTATATAATCCTGGATTTGAATTATGTAGTGCTATGATGAAATGTTTTGTCTTGACCACAAATGAATGGGAAACAATTTGTTGTTGTAATAAAGTTATTCAATATTGTTGGGAACTAGCTTCTATCAACACATCATTCACACTTCTACATTCTCATCTAGAGGAAGCTGTGAGATAATCTTCGAATGAGACATACAGTATGTAAAGCACTTTGCAAGAATTCTTCAAATATTGAGAGGTTAAAATCACACATTGACCTGGTCAGTGTTTATTTTTTCTTTTAATCTGCAGTTGTCAATTCGCCCATAGTTGTTGCAGTCAGTGATTTTCCTTCTAGAGACACAGAGCCAGTACTAAGGATGGGGGAACAGCTGAGTTTGGTATCTGAGTGAGTATTAACAGACAAGATAATGGACAAAACACATGAAGTATTTGCATCAAGCAGTGCAGTTAACATGATGGTAGTCATCAAGAGGGATATGTCCTGGAGAGGCTAGGGAGATCCTCATTGCAGGATAATTCCATATCTTCAAAACATCCATGGTGAGACCTTATTTGTTTTTCATATCTACTTTGTATTAGCTGTCCAAATTAGTTTATTAGTTGCCGATTTTCCATTTTTCCTCTTTACATTTTACAGTATTGTATTTATGTTTAATGTTATTGATATTTAAAATTAAAAATGGCACAGTACAAGATAAAAACACTCCAGCCTCAACTTTTTGTTTTTACACATTAATATATAACTAGCCACTTCTATAGTGACAAATCTATCTAATCGACAAAACCAAAATCAAAGTTTCATTATTTGAGATGTCCTCTGAACAGTTAGAAGGGCTAGTTCAGGCTTTCTCAACTTGATGTTCTTCATTTGCATTAATACAATTCCCAAAATTTCCAGTTGCCCTTGTGGCTGGTCAGTCTGGGGACTGTAGACTCAACACATCAAGATTAAATTAACCCTCCATCCTTCATGCTTAAAGTCTGGATACTTTGGGCGTTAGTGTAGTCCCAAGAAAGGGATAATTGTAGAGCATTTTTCTGAGAACAAAGCCTGCTCCTTGACTAGAATTTTAGAAAAAAAGGAAATTTCTTCAAGAAGTACAACAGCAGAATTTTACTTGAGGTCATGGCTTTAAGTTACATTTCTTCTCCTACAGAGAGGGTGAATGGTGTCAAGTCAAGTCAGTAGCAACTGGACAAGAATGCTGTGTACCTAGCAACAGCATAGTTAAAATTTCACACAGGTAAACATTGTGATTTTTCTCTATCAGAAGTAACATCACAGAACATTAGGGGGGGGGGATGTTTCTCTATATTCCAAGAGATCCTCAATCCTATAAGGAAAGTAGTTTCCCCCTTAACTTTCACACAATCTTTTTCATAGGCAACTGACCCTTGCAGTGTTCTTGTCTTCAGGTGGCTCTATGATGGCATTGATCGAGCCAAAGCTGAGGAGTTGTTACTGTTGCCTGCAAACCAGGAAGGTTCTTTCATCATAAGAAAGAGACAAGCGAAGAAAGGTATGGATTCTACATAATATCCAAAGGAATCTTCCAATTCTGTAAGTGGGAGAAAATATAAGGTACACCAAGTCTGTGAGCTTGGCATAGCCTACCAAGGATTAAATGTGATAATATATAATTAAGCTTTGGAATTAATAGTTAAGTTTTCTTCCTCAATTAAGACATAATGCAAGTTTTAAAGACAGTAGCACAACTCTAAACATCAGAGAAAAGATCTCATTGCTTTCAAGAGAATTTAATGAAACATAAACATTTCACAAATCTCTCTGAGCAGTAGGATTGAGTGGACCTTTTTCCTGTCTAAATATGTTACAGATTGTTTTATTCTGATAAACAGGTTGCTACTCTTTATCAATCAGATGCACAAATCATGAATCTTGGAATTGTGTAAAACACTACCGCATTAACTGTTTGGAGAACAGCTGGCTTTATATCTCCCCGAGCCTTACCTTCCCAAGCTTGCACGAACTGGTAGACTATTATTCTGGTAATTATTTTTTAAAATTAATTAAAGGAAATTATGCATTCTTTTCAGTTTCTGATTGTGTCAATCTTTCTCTCTCTCTGTATATGTGCGTGTTAAAAAAAAAAAAGAGACAGAATTGCTTTACAGCATGTTGGCCACTAGGCAAAAACTTCACCCCTCTGGAAATGGCCAAAGATCTGTATTACAAAGATCACACATTCCCGTTGGTGACCAACATTTGGGAAAATCTGTTATGTCCTGTTACAATACCAACTTTTCAGAAACCTACTGTCAGAGGAAATTTTGAAGTTCATGGAGGAAGGTTGTTTTTCAGCTCTTCCCATGTGATCTCTTATTAATTTGACCTTTGCTTGTCAATAGGTTATTCAGTTCTACCATTTGTTGTGTTATGTGTGCCCAGCCTGAGCCTCAGAATGTGTTAAGGGCCGTTTCTTGGCTATATTGTTCATTGGTTAACTCACTTGGCTGTATTTTTTGGATGTTTTAAATGTTTTTATAGTTTTAGAATTTTAAGCCACCCAGAGTCACTTGTCTGAGATAGTTATAGAAATTTAATAAATAACTAAGATTTGTAAGAGTGTAGTGAAAAGTCTTGGTCTGGATTCTGTTCTGTGATCATGCTGTAAGATTTTTTTTTAAAGTTGGGTATTTTCATCAAGAAAATAAAGTGCATTTTTACCCAAAAGCTGGAGAAACAACATAGTGACTGTTGCACTTGGATTTCTTTCACTATAATAATAGTAACAATAATAGAGTTGGAAGGGACTTTGGAGGTCATCTAGTCCAACCCCCTGCTCAGGCAGGAAACCCTATACCATTTCAGACAAATGGCTATCCAGACTCTTCTTAAAAACTTCCAGTGTTGGAGCATTCACTACTTCTGGAGGCAGGTTGTTCCACTGATTAATTGTTCTAATTGTCAGGAAATTTCTCCTTAGTTGTAGGTTGCTTCTCTCTTTGGTTAGTTTCCATCCATTACTTCTTGTCTTGCCTTTGGGTGCTTTGGAGAATAGCTTGACTCCCTCTTCTTTGTGGCAACCCGAGATATTGGAACACTGCTATCATGTCACCCCTCGTCCTTCTCTTCATTAAACTAGACATACCCAATTCGAGTAACTGTTCTTTATGTTTTAACCTCCAGTCCCCTAATCATCTTTGTTCCTCTTCTCTGTACTTTCTAGAGGCTCAACATCTTTTTTACATCATGGTGACCAAAACTGGATGCAGTATTCCAAGTGTGGCCTTACCACACTTACCTTACACTGCTGGCTCATATTAAGTGATTGTCCACTAGGATTCTGAGATCCCTCTCACACTTACTACTATTGAACAAGGTACCACCTATACTATACTACTGAGCAAGGTACCATCTATACTACACCTGTATATTTGGTTTTTCTTGCCTAAATGTAGAACCTTTTCACCATTGGATTTAGTTTTGTTAGATAGTGCTCAATATTCAAGTCTGTCAAGATCCTCCTGTATCTTAAGCCTATCTTCTGGAGTGTTGGCTACTCCTGCCAGCTTGGTGTCGTCTGCAAATTTGATGAGTTCCCCATCTATCCTCTCATCCAAATTATTGATGAAGATGGTGAAGAGCCCTGGGCCTAGAACAGAGCCCTGGAGCACCCCACTACACACTTCCCTCCATGTAGATGCAGTTCCATTGAGGACCACACGTGGAGTACGGCCAGTCAGCCACTACGAATCCATCTGGTGGTGATGCTGTCTAACCCACATTTTTCTGTCTTACCAAATGCCCTTACTTAAGTCCAAATTATATCCATAGCATTCCTCTGATCCACTAATTTTGTCACCTGGTCAAAGAATGCAGTAAAATTTGTCTAGCATGATCTGTTTTTTGACAAACCCATGTTGGCTTTTGGTTATGACTTTGTTTGCCTCTAGGTGTCCGCTGATTTGTTGCTTGATTATCTTTTCCAGAATCTTCCCAGGTATTGATAGGTCTGTAGTTTCCTGGATCCATTTTTCCCCTTTTTGAAGATACAATACAGTAGAAAATCTTATATATGAAAACCTATCATGTTTATTTTCTTTAATAGAAACTAGTGATGGCTTATGTTGCTGCTTGAAGAAACCGTGCTTCATCCAAGGAACTAATTCCAGCTTGTTTCATCATCTTTCCAAACCTGTGGCAGTAAAAAAATCTGTTCTCAACTGGCAACAGATCAAGAGGTTATTTTATTTTTTATATTCAACTTATACTCAACCTTTATCAACAACTCAAATAATATGGCTGGCTGGATTGTTCAAATTATGCTAAAAAAAAGTGTTTTGCAAAACCATGTTTGCACAATTTAGGGATATTTGTTTTATTAGGCTAATATGCTCCTCCAATTGTGCCTGATTCTGAGCAGTTTAAATAGTAATCGTATTAAAAACTAAATACAATTTGAAAATATGAGCAACCAAATAATTTCCTAAATGCTGAATAGCAACCTTAGTATATGTATCTCATTATTTTATACATGAGACAAAACAATTCCTCAGTCCCCCTAAAGCCCATGGAAGTAAACAATCAATAGTTTTATAAAAAATTGACAGGTATTATATAGGTAAAGAAAATGAAACTCAAAACTGCTTGTTCTGGACCAGTTACAGCTTCCAATAGTCTTCAAAGGCAATCTCATGTTGTATGCATTGCAATAATCCATACAAGTACTAAGGCATGAGTGATTACAGGTAGTCCTTGGGAAACAATAGGCCATTTAGAAAAGTGACACCAACCCCCAAGTAATATACGCCCATTTCAAAGTTGTGACAGCTGCAGTGCCATTAAAGTCATTCACCCTTATGACAAACCATGGGAATGCTATAGTGCCTCCCCTTTCCCGCATCCCGCCCCAGTGGGACCCGGAATGCTCAGGACTGCTTTCCATGCAGCCTGGAAGCCGCAGCCATTTTCAAGTCTCTTGCTGAAATGATAGCTGCTTTCAGAGCTTTCTGTGCCAATCAGCTATCTGCTTATTGGATAGCCATCAAGAGGCTCTTCTATCTCTCTAGGTTTTGGGAAGACAATTCTTGCATAATAAAAGGTAGCTTCAGGACAAGCTTTCCAAGTTTTCTTTTGCTTAACCCCTCCCTCCCTTGCCTCTCCCCCCAAAAGCCACATTGCTTCAATTAAAAAAACAAAAAAACCTGAGGGACAGATTTGTTGATAAACCCCTCATCCCCATTAAGTTTATAGAAACGTTGATAGAGGTCAGACAAATTGTGTAATTTGGATTCACACTGGAACTTCCCAAGATGACCAGGACAGGGTTAAAGAGGTGCTTTCAAAAAGAAAAATGTTTTCCCCTCTATAGTGAGCTGGAGCTGTAGTTTGATGGTCCTGCAGCAGTAAATATATGGAACACAATTGGACTAAGTACTATATACTATTCTGAAGAAATTGTATTCAGCAGGATGTGAGATTTTTGAAGATGGGATCAAATTACTTCACCATGGCTGAATTCTCATCACTTTCTCAAATGAAAAATTTATATCTCAAGCAGAGATATTTTTTTTAAAAAAAAATGTATGACTTGTCAGTTTTAACATTTCACATTGCCAACAAAAGCAAATAAGGATAGAATATCCCCAACAATCTCCAAACTATTTCAAATGCCTTGATTCTGGAAATACAGTCTGATAATTTTATGATACTAAATCATTGTTACTGATAAAATATATAAAGCTATTTTTTTAGCTTTTAAGAGCCATGGTGGCAAAGTGATTGGAATGCAGTACTGCAGGCTAACTCACTGCTAACTCCAGGAGTTCGATTCTCACCGGCTCAAGGTTGACTCAGCCTTCCATCTTTCCGAGGTCAATAAAATGAGGACTCAGATTGTTGGGGACCATATGCTGACTCTGTAACCCACTTACAGAGGGCTGTAAAGCACTATGAAGCAGTATATAAATTTAAGTGCTATTGCTATCTTGCTTTCTAATATACTGAATCTTTCATTTAGACCAGTGGTTCTCAACCTTTTTAATGCCGCGACCTCCAACCGGTCGTAAGTCGAGGACTACTCAACTGGTCGTAAGTCGAGGACTACTCAACTGGTGCAGCACCGTTTGCAGAATAGGACTTTTGGCGGGCTCAGCAGGACAGAGACAGCCTGGACAATTCCTATTGGCTTTTGAAAGCAATAGAATTAGACTCTATTCAAGAAAGTCTATTCTATTGGCTTTTAAAAAGCCAATAGAATAAAAGGGAGTAGTAGCACAGCTAAGAAAAAGGGGAAAAAATGGCGGACTGCGTTGTTTGGCGACCCCCGTGAAATGGTCATTCGACCCCAAATGGGGTCCTGACCCACAGGTTGAGAACCACTGATTTAGCCCTTAACTCAGCAGATGCAAGTTTTATGTTTTAGCACTCCTTCAATTATTGCCTGGCACTGGCAAACTGAGAGACTATGATTGACTCAATCTCTCAAGGAGCTTTTGCAGCTGAAGGTGGCTTGAAGTCAAATCTCCTGGGTTCTATGTGTTCTATCTAATTCTACAATTTACCAGTACTCCACACTGGTTCTATACTGTTTTAAAAATAATCCATGAGACAAATTGTTTCTTTGCAACTCCAGAATCCTCAGCTGTAACAAGCATAAACCACTGCAGCAAGGAATATTGCCTCTGTTGCTACAAGGAAGAATCCATGCCATTAGCAAAATCCAGTACATTAGCCATGTACTGAAGCAGAATATGCTGATAGTATTTGCGTGTTCTTATGACAAGCATCATACATTATTATTTGAAACAAAATAAAAACAAAGCCATTATTATTTTAGCAATGTTGTTCAGAAATGTTTTCTTCTATCTAGCTCAGACTTGTTGTCAGAAGAACCACTAACAGAAGACTCACCCATCAGTCTTGGCTTGCGAGAAGCAGTTACTACTTACCTGTTTATGACTGATGACGTGTCATTACAGGGCTCACCAAACAGAAAAGGAAAGCAAACCAAAGATGTATAAAGCTAATATTGGAAGTATTTCTGGAATATTAAACTTGAACACAAGATCTGTATTTTTATCAGTTTGATTCAAGGTGGTTATCCTTAAAACAGTGTTATCATAGTTAACTTTTCATCTTTTTCAAGAAGCTTGGCTCATTCAAATGTGTGTGTGTGTGTGTGTGTGTGTGTGTGTGTGTGTGTGTGTGTGTAGTATATTTATATATATTTTCCCTACAGGTTTTGCACTTGGTAATTCATAATTGCTTAGTAATGCAAAAGCTGAATAAACCAAATAGTTGTTTCACCAGGCTGCAATGGATATTAATGTCAACAGTTCAAGAAACAAAGGAAAGCAAGGAAAAATGTTTTCTCTGATCTGAGAGAAAGAATCGTAGGAATGGAGCTACCAAAAGTAGAATGGAAATGCAAGTGTGCTATATACAGTATCCACAAATGGCATATAAAAGGCACATACAAACCTATGGCAGTTTCTGGCCGCATGCATAAACTGCATGGTTTGCTTAATGAAGCCACAATACATTGATTTTATGTTAAAACTAAACAAGCCAAACATGTTCACCATCTTGAGTTATTTCTAAAAATAATAAAGGAGGAATACAAGTAAAATTTAAAAAATAAATTATAATGGAGCCAGCTTGGTTGTTTGCAAATGTTTCATTACCTGATTAGTACTGACCTTAGTTGGGTAATGAAATGTCTACAAGCAAACAACAGAGAGCACCAAGAAATATATGAGTTACATATATTCTTTTATATTGTAAGTCATTATAGCCTGAACAATCAGGAAATCAGTCCAAAGCCCACAAGAGTAAAGTAGTTACTCTTAGTATTGAACTTGTCTAGCTCCTAGTTTCCTACACAGATTTCAGGAATATGCAACCTCTGATCTTCCAGATGTTAAATGATAAACTTTTCAGTATCTCTAAGCACTGGCCATGCTAATTAGATTTTTTATCAGTTACAATTTGTAAGACTTTGAAAGTTACGTATGTCTAACCCCTGCCCTATAGCTTTAGGATTATCTTCAACATTAAAGGGATATAGCTAGAAATATATTATTCAAGTCTTAACAAATTGCACTTGTTTACAGTTAAAAGATAGAGAAATATTTTTTTCAGGGGTATCTTATTATTTAGAAAACTCCCCATAATGTTATTGTGAGACAATTGGATGTCATTTAACAATCACAAACTTTATTCCAATTTATTACAGCAAAATAATTTTTATCTGCTGTACAGTTGCTATACTTATAAACTATAAGAGCTAAATAATTGGAGACAAATTATTCCCTGAAATTAGTCTTGGCATAAAGTCTCTGTCAGAATGCAAAATAGTGGACTGTTTTTAAATGAGATAAGCTGGTCAGAAAACTGTTATTTCTATGACAAACATTAGATAACTGAAATCTACATAATTCTGAAGCATATAAACATTACGGATTTTATTCATAATTACCAATTTGTACACTAAACAGGTCTTCAACTCACAAATGTGCTTTAATTTAAACTTTGGTGGTGTCAAAAACAACTCCAATATCAAGGTAGGAAAAGTCCAACATTCAGAACACCCAATGCAAAAATACCCTATTCTGTCCACCTCAAAGTAATCTCTTGTCCCAGATGTTATCTAACAAAAAGGAAGTAGTGATGGAAATATGATATTCTTAAACATATAAAAGTTACAACACACCAATGTTCAAAAAACTACTATATAACGTAGCTTCGATGTAAGCAGCATTTCTTCACTTTGATCTCACAAATAATGCTAGTAAGGAAACTAAAAATAAAAGTACAAAAAGGGGTTTCAAAAACATTGTTTAACATAATGTCCCATTGCCTTTGGGAACAGTACCTCATGCATAGACCTTGACGCTTTGTTATACACAAATATAAAATTAACTGATTCCCAAAACCACACTTTACAAGTATCTACAATGAAACATTTATAATATTGAAAAGATTATGTTTCAAACTATAACCGGAATGGCAATTATTAACAGTAGGGAAGAAAACAATACCATGACCATGACTGGCCGTGGTTAGATCTGAATCTACAGCACGCCCTTTCTTGTGTAGACACTTTTATACCCTGCACTCAGGATATGTCATCAGTACTAGGTCATGGGAGGCACAGCATGGCCAGATTTAGAAATTCAAGAATGCACAGAAGCTCAACATAAATGGGTGTCCCAGTACCATGAGAATCATGGTACAATGACATGATAAATATGGAAAATGATAATTTACTAAGAAAAGAAGTGCAACCAAAGTGGGACCTTCTACTACATCTATTTAAAATAGTAGATTAGTTTCAGGTCATATATGCAAACCTCTTGTAACAGTTTACTATAAAAGTAGACATTCATACTTGCTAGGCTTGAAAATAGTATCTTCTATTGATTAAATACTGTAGTTATGCATAAACTATTAGGATAAAGTATGAGTTTCTGACACATTAAGTCACTTAAATAAACTAGGTAGAATGTTAACTACAGCCTTGGATTGCTAATTATTTTTTGGCTCTTAAAACTTTGTTCTCCAGTGGCACAATTTTGTCAGTATATATATGCAAAGAACATCAATGGTTATTTCAACTTGATACAAGGAATGAAAAAAATCCTTTGCCAACTTGCTCCTACCTTTTGAAGACAAGAATAAATCCCTTTCCATAATGTTAAAAAATGCCTAGCAAAGACCAACTGAACAAAAGATATGGGCAATCTCTTTACTTTTATGAAGAGTAACCCTTGCCCCTAAATAATTCCCTGAAGTCAGTTTTGTGTCCCATGCAACAAGCATGCTATTCCATTAAAATAGAGAGAGCTCAACATACAACAGGCTCCAGCCATCCAGCAGAAATTTCATATCATGTTGAACAGCAAAGTGCTATTTGTTGTACTTTGCCCAAGTCTGTGAGAAGTTGTTTTATACAATGCTTCAGTTGAGGAAGTCTTGCTAACGGTTCGGGTGGCTCCAGCTCCCCAGTATAATCCAACCAACTCTCTAAAACTGTAAAAGAGAAGATACATAACAATTACAAAGGCCTAAGGTACTGATGGCTAAATTTAAGTAGATCTGTATTAGCTATAAAGAATTTCAGTAGGATAGTGTAATCTTTCCTTTAAAGGAATCAATTTTTCAAATGCTTTTTAATAAAATATATGAACTATCAAGCAATTCAAAATAGCAAGAAGTTCCTCCCTTAAAGGTTTGCTTCTTGATTTTCTAGCTATAACTAGGTAAACAAAGGCATATAGTTGAAAGAAGACAGATGTGGTTTAACAGTTATTACTTATTTTGTTGTTTTTCATTTCAAGTATTCAGTGGCATATAGTTTTCAAGCTATACTTGGAACTACATCAATTTACTTTAACTGTATTTTCAGATACACCAAGCCTCTGTTTAGCAGAAATACCATAATCAATCAGTCTATCAATCAATCAGAGAAACCAACTGAGAAATCACAAGAAAAGTACTGCCAGTAAAGGATATGAAATCAAAGATATCCCACATTGTTAATAATAATAAGGTTGGAAGGGACCTTGGAGGTCATCCATCAAAAGCTACTATAAAATCCAAATCATGTCATTGCCACGTATCTTTGGTATGCATTGAGACACTGTAGTGCTTTAAGATAGCAATCTTGAAATCAGGGAATTGAGAGAATGAAGCTATCTGGGTGGCTTTGGGCCAATTACTTTATTTCAGACCTAGTGATGTTATGACTGACGATAAAGCACATAAGCATCAGTTACAGGTAGTCCTCTATCTATGACCAGATTAGCTCAAAAATTCTGTTGTTAAATGAGGCAGTTGTTAAGTGCATTTTGCCCCATTTTATGGCCTTTCATGCAACAGTTAAGTGAATCCATGCAGTTGTTAAGTTTAATAACATGGCTATTAAGTGAATCTGATTTCCCCACTGACTTTCCTTGTCCGAAAGTCACAAAGGGTGATTGTATGATGATCCCAGGACACTGCAACCGTCATACATATGAGTCAGTTGCCAAACGTCTGAATTTTGATCACATGACCACGGGGATACTGCAATGGGGGTACCTGTGAAAAATGATCATGTCATTTTTTTCAGTGCTGTTGTAACTTTGAACAGTCACTAAGTGAAAGGTTGTAAGTTGAGGACTACCTGTAATGATCACAGCAGTTCTACAATCTGTGAATAGTTCCTATTAAACTTAAGGCTTAAATTTTCTTTGAAGCACTACAAATTCAATTCACATCCTCATGTAAAGCAGACAGCTGTATTTCAGAGAGGTTTAGTTGCTATTCAATATAAGTAACTTTCTTCAATACCTATCATCAATTTTATTTGGCAGCTCATAGTCAATGTGTCTTTTCTGCTGTACCCCCACTTCCTGGAACATCCTCCCTCCCCCACACAGAGGCTGGCCTTCTCTGTTTTAGCTTTCTGGAAGTCCTTCAAGACCTGTTTCTTAGCAAGCTTCAGAACTGGCAAAATAGTGGGATGGCTCCTGAGTAATTAACAACTCCTTTTTGCCTTATTTCTTTTTATTCTGGGTTGCTTTTTATATTAACAATATTAATTCACTTGATTGTTAGATGGCCAGCTATATAAATATGATGAATATGAATGAGAATGCCTCTTTTAGTTACAAAAGCTAGAGAGCTATTTCAGTATGAAAAACTGCAGTTAAATTTAAGGGAATATTATATATGATAGAAGTCTACCTGGAATCAGCTCCATTTTAAAAGATTTAACCTGATGTACTTTAGAGGACTTGCAGCAGCCTGCATACTAATAGTTTCGTCCAACCTACTGTAATATTTGAAAAGCATCCTATGATGACCAATGAGGAACTTTTTTTAAAATTTTAAGCAATTTTGAATACACAAAAGACTAGATAATGAACTCTGGATAGATCACCAGAAAGACATAAGAGAAAACACTGGCCCTTTCAGGAAGATTCTAAACTCAGTTTGCCAACCAATATAATTATGAACCTATATTAAACAGATTTAATGTAAGAAATAGAACACAAGAAAAAAATAATTGAACAGACCTTACAAACTCTTAACATTTGTAGCAGAAAAAAACCATTACCATCTAGTTCCTTTTCAATTAAATCCATCCTGTGAGTAACTTCATCTTGCAGGGACTCAACGTGGGTTAAAAGGTTAAACTGCCACTGCAGCTGGGAATTCATAATTCCATCTTTGTCTTTTTCAAGCAATTTTACTTCAGTATCTTCTTCTGATGTAATTTTTTCTCTTACCTAGAAAAATGCACATGTTAACATTTCTTATAAACACTGAATAATTTTAAAGAAAAACTGTTCAAGAGATTATATATGAGGAGCTGTGGTGGCGCAGTGGTTAGAAGGCAGTATTGCAGGCAGCCAGGATCTTCCATCCTTCCAAGGTCGATAAAATAAGGACCCAGATTGTTGGGGACAATATGCTGACATTGTAAACTGCTCAGAGGGCTATAAAGCAATGTGAAGCGGTATATAAGTCTAAGTGATATCGATATATATGCTTAATGCCTAATATTTTTGGTTCAAAAGATTAAATGATAATGCCTGCCTGTGAATGAAGTACAAATTAGTAAGTCTAATATATTATAGTTAAGTTATAAATATACACTTGCATGTACTATACACATGCAAACATAGTTATACTAGACACATGCATCACAGACATTCTCTGAAAGTCAGCAAGTAAGTTGCAAAGAATAGCTAGTTATAATGCCTTGGTAAGGCCACACTTGGAATACTGCATCCAGTTTTGGTCACCATGATGTAAAAGAGATGTTGAGACTCTAGAAAGAGTACTGAGAAGAGCAGCAAAGATGATTAGGGGACTGGGGGATAAAACATACAAGGAACGGTTGCTGGAATTGGGTATCTAGTTTAATGCAGAGAAGGACTAGAGTGACATGATAGCAGTGTTCCAATATCTCAGGGGTTGCCACAAAGAAGGAGTCAAGCTATTCTCCAAAGCAACTGAAGGCAGGACAAGAAGCAACGGATGGAAACTAATCAAGGAGAGAAGCAACCTAGAACTAAGGAGAAATTTCCTGACAGAACAATTAATCAGTGGAACAACCTGCCTCCAGAAGCTGTGAATGCTCCAACACTGGAAGTTTTTAAGAAGAGACTGGACAGACATTTGTCTGAAATGGTATAAGGTTTCTTGCCTGAGCAGGGGGTTGGATTAGATGACCTCCAAAGTCCCTTCCAACATCATCATCATTATTATTATGGATCATCACACAGTCGGCCAGATATTCAGACTGGATTTGGCATTTTGTCTACCTATCGATTCCTTACCCAGGACCTGGGATAGGCAGATGTGGATGTTTGATGGTATTACAGGTATCGTCGCAGGATGGAAGCAGTTCCTAGTAAGGCCGCCTTTTGCAACTGACTAATAGCGAATATGTCAATGCCAATGGTGTTCAAGTGGTGCTCCAGTTGTTTTGGGATTGCACCCAAGGAGCCTATTACTATTGGTACTACCCTTGCTTGCTTTTGCCACAGTCTTTCTATTTCTATTTGTAGGTCTTTGTATTTTGTTATCTTCTCCAATTCTTTCTCGTCTATTCTGCTGTCTCCAGGCACTGCCACGTCCACTATCCAGACTTTTTTGTCTTTCTTATCAACAATTGTTAAGTCTGGGGTGTTATGTTGTTGTTGTTACTACTACTACTACTACTACTACTACTACTACTACTACTACTACTACTACTACTACTACTACTACTACTACTACTACTGTGTTTTCCCGAAAATAAGTCCGG